TCCAGAAGGCTTCTATCAGTTAATTTATCTGTTTCTGTTTTGCTTTCATCTGCAAGCATTCTATCAGTTAATTTATCTCTTCATGTTTTGCTTTCATTCAGAAGGCTTCTATCAGTTAATTTATCTGTTTCTGTTTTGCTTTCATCTGCAAGCATTCTATCAGTTAATTTATCTCTTCATGTTTTGCTTTCATTCAGAAGGCTTCTATCAGTTAATTTATCTGTTTCTGTTTTGCTTTCATCTGCAAGCATTCTATCAGTTAATTTATCTGTTCATGTTTTGCTTTAATCCAAAAGCCTTCTATCAGTTAATTTATCTTTTTGTTTTGCTTCCATCTGTAAGCATTCTGTCAGGTAATTTATCCGTTCATGTTTTGCTTTCATCTGCAAGCATTCTATCAGTTAATTTATCTGTTCATGTTTTGCTTTCATTCAGAAGGCTTCTATCAGTTAATTTATCTGTTTCTGTTTTGCTTTCATCTGCAAGCATTCTATCAGTTAATTTATCTGTTCATGTTTTGCTTTCATTCAGAAGGCTTCTATCAGTTAATTTATCTGTTTCTATTTTGCTTTCTTCTGCAAGCATTCAATCAATTAATTTATCTGTTCATGTTTTGCTTTCCTCTGCAAGCATTCTATAGTAAAATTATCTGTTCCTGTTATGCTTTCATCTGCAACCAAGCCTTCTATCAGTAATTTATGTTTCTGTTTTGCTTTCATACACAAGCATTCAATCTGTTAATTTGTCAGTTTCTGTTTTACTTTCGTACGCAAGCAATCAAATCTGTTCATTTACCTGCTCATGTTTTGCTTTCATACGTAAGCATTCTGTCAGTTAATTAATTTGTTTTTGCTTTTATCCTCAAGCAGTCTACCAGTTCATTTATTATCACCCACATCACACCTTTGTGAAAAACTCAACTAGCAGAGTTTTTTGTCACCCACATGACACACTGACTAGGAAACACTGATCTGAATAAACGAACCCCCCCCCCCCCCCCCCCCCCCCCCCCTCACCAATACAAACATTTTCCGTGGCATGACACCTGATGACGATGATGCTACCCAGTCATATGTCAGTGAGACTTGCGAATATCGTCAGCTTTTTGCATTTGTAGAATGTGTACTACACACATCAAACATTGATGCTGATGTCAGGAGCTGACAACTACAATAAAGTCACAAGTGGAATAAACACTAACATTCGGCTAATGTCTGTCTCTCTTTGATCGGCCATTTCCATGACACATTTCTTCTTTCAGCAGACGCATGTCCGGTTTCTGCAGAAGACAAAAATAAAGACAATTGGATTTAACATTGTGTCTTTGTCGAAAAGAAATGGCCTACTTGTTTCTAGCTAGTACAAAGTGTATATTGTTTGCTATTTCAGATGACAGATTTATAAAAATCTGCTCCTGTAGCATGCGATACGAGGGGGGATATCGCATACCTCTCAAAAGTATTGAGGGTAGCGGTTCTCAACCTGTGGGCCGCGACCCATTTTGGGGTCGAACAACCTTTTCACAAGGTTCACCTAAGACCATCGGAAAACAACATATTTGCTGAAGTTATAAAGAAGAAACGAGGTGGGGGGTTGACCACAACATGGGGAACTGTATCAAAGGGTCACTGCATTTGGGAGGTTTAGAACCACTGATCTTGCATGATGATTACATTTCAGTCATACATGCAAAAGATCCCTAGTTGACAATCAATACTACTAGGTTTCCTACAAAAGATACTGAGGTAGCACAGGTACACACAAAGTGACATCGTACCCACCAACATTACAAACAAAGAGTGTACACCAATACTGAACAAACTATTAGAGGTCATCTATGTTAGTGCATTAGTCTAGTTTATTCATAGACAAACATATCAGGATGATCAACTGTTGGCAAATGACTGAACAGTCTATTAAATTATATCAAGTTTAAATACTGACAGACTCCAATCAAAGGGCGTCACCATCCCAAAAAGAGGCATCTAGCCTTGACATGACATGAGTCCATAACACAAGATATATTCAGCATATGTGCCCACTCCTGGGGTGACCAGTAGCCTATAACAGACACATTCATCTATGTGCCCATTCCTGGGATGACCAGTAGCCTATAACAAACGCATTCAGCTGTGTGCCCACTCATGGGGTGACCAGTAGCCTATAACAGACACATTCATCTATGTGCCCATTCCTGGGATGACCAGTAGCCTATAACAAACGCATTCAGCTGTGTGCCCACTCATGGGGTGACCAGTAGCCTATAACAGACACATTCATCTAAATGCCCACTCATGGGGTGACCAGTAGCCTATAACAAACACATTCAGCTGTGTGCCCACTCCTGGGGTGACCAGTAGCCTATAACAAACACATTCAGCAGTGTGCCCACTCCTGGGATGACCAGTAGCCTATAACAGACACATTCATCTATGTGCCCACTCATGGGGTGACCAGTAGCCTATAACAGACACATTCATCTAAATGCCCACTCATGGGGTGACCAGTAGCCTATAACAAACACATTCAGCTGTGTGCCCACTCCTGGGGTGACCAGTAGCCTATAACAAACACATTCAGCAGTGTGCCCACTCCTGGGATGACCAGTAGCCTATAACAGACACATTCATCTATGTGCCCACTCATGGGGTGACCAGTAGCCTATAACAGACACATTCATCTAAATGCCCACTCATGGGGTGACCAGTAGCCTATAACAGACACATTCATCTAAATGCCCACTCCTGGGGTGACCAGTAGCCTATAACAGACACATTCATCTAAATGCCCACTCCTGGGGTGACCAGTAGCCTATAACAGACACATTCATCTAAATGCCCACTCATGGGGTAACCAGTAGCCTATAACAGACACATTCATCTAAATGCCCACTCCTGGGGTGACCAGTAGCCTATAACAAACACATTCATCTATGTGCCCACTCCTGGGGTGACCAGTAGCCTATAACAGACACATTCATCTAAATGCCCACTCATGGGGTGACCAGTAGCCTATAACAGACACATTCATCTAAATGCCCACTCATGGGGTAACCAGTAGCCTATAACAGACACATTCATCTAAATGCCCACTCCTGGGGTGACCAGTAGCCTATAACAGACACATTCATCTATGTGCCCACTCCTGGGGTGACCAGTAGCCTATAACAGACACATTCATCTAAATGCCCACTCCTGGGGTGACCAGTAGCCTATAACAAACACATTCATCTAAATGCCCACTCCTGGGATGACCAGTAGCCTATAACAAACGCATTCAGCTGTGTGCCCACTCCTGGGATGACCAGTAGCCTATAACAGACACATTCATCTAAATGCCCACTCATGGGGTAACCAGTAGCCTATAACAAACACATTCATCTAAATGCCCACTCCTGGGGTGACCAGTAGCCTATAACAGACACATTCAGCTATGTGCCCACTCCTGGGGTCATAGATAGCCTATAACAGACACATTCAGCTATGTGCCCACTCCTGGGGTCATAGATAGCCTATAACAGACACATTCAGCTGTGTGCCCACTCCTGGGGTCATAGATAGCCTACAACAGCAATTATCACCGTATAGGCCAGGTTGACCTGCGGGGAAGCTGTCAAAGCATGCCACTATTAAAAGACCTGCAAGTTTATATAAACAACCACTGGTACTGATCAACACTGAAATATAAGCAATCAAATAACACACTGGTCAGATAAAGTATTTGGATCTAGCCGTCTCGTTTCCAATAACCACACTCATTTGTAGCATTCAGAATAATACACCCAATTCTATTGAACAGTCTAAGCTCTCCCACAAAAAAAAATAATACAAATTGTTAAGAAAAACTATAACAAAGCACATCCAACCTATCTCACTGACTGAGAACTGAGGGGAAAAAAACAGAACTGACCCACTGCCTTTTAACAAGCACATCATAAAAAGTGACTAATTAAGGATTTGTTTAAATTAGATGTGGGTGGAGGGTGGGGGGCAGATATCGCAGCCTAGCTTTCCACTATTTCACCAACAGGCAGGCAGGCAGGCAGGCTTTCTGGTGTTAGAGCATGCGACAGAAACACACGACCAAATACCTGAGGTATGCATGATATTGAAAATAATGATAACGATGGTAACAGGTTCAATATGGCAGTGAGAAATATCACAGCCTAGCTGTGGACAAGCAAAATATAACTGAGCCCCTGATACATAAAAATACAGAAAAATTTGGCAGAACAGCAACAGAGGGAGAGACAAGAATGAAAAAGGGAATGACAGGAAGTAAATCAAAAAACGAAGAAGAGAATAAGATAAGAACGGGTTTAGAATTAACAGAAGAAATCTAAAATGACGATACAGTAAAACAGAAAAGTATTGAAAATATTCTCATGATTTACTATTTACTGACTCACTTCATCGCCTCTCTAGAGAGGGACAGTCTATTATATTCAGACTAAGGACAGGGCACAACAGATTTCGTCAACATATGTTCAAATTTTTCGGTGTAGGAAATACGGAGACGTGTCCCTGCAGCGTGGCACCCGAAAATGCTGAGCATGTGCTCCAACACTGTCAACTGTATGCTGACAACAGAGACGCAATCTGGCCTGTTCCAACCACAATGAAGACAAAACTGTATGGTACACAAGAGGATATGGATTGCACGATAGCTTTCATAAAGGCTACCTGCCTCCTGATATAAGTTTTCTGACAGAAGGATCGAAGAAGAAGAAGAAGAAGACTGACAAGTACACTGGGCATGGGCGTAATGCTGACCACATTAGCCACAGAGTGCTGATGGTCTGTAAAAATATGGGACGCCCTGCCCATATGCCCGATGCGCCGAAAGGCGTGAAAAGGGATCTTTACTTTTCTTTACTTTTACTCTGGGCATGTCTACAGGAGCTCAGTCTCTCTGTGTTCAAAGGCAGGCACAGCAATGACACACATCCAGTCATGCACCATGCATGCTTCCCTTCATAAAAACGTACTCACCAGCAACACTCACAACGCTCCAAACGGATCATTGACATTGCTAGACTGCCCAGGCTGCTGTTGTGGCAGGCGTGGCTGCTGGAATCCTCCCATCATGGGCATCCTCTGGGCACCATACATGCCTGGTGCCTGCATACTCATGCCTGGATGCATGCCCATCCCCATGCCCATAGGCTGGCCCATGCCCTGGAAGAGATGACACAAACATGTAGCAGACACGGCACTCTAACTGCAACCTGTGATTGTTATCTTGTCTGTTGTGTTGTAAACTTAACATACTTAAATGTAACATCCAATCAATACTGCTGTTTTAGCCCTAAACAAGGAGAACAACAACAACACAAATTAATAATAAACTAAAAGCATTCATTAACTGGTGTTTTTGCAGAACGGAGGGAATTACATGGTACAGAATCACTAATGTGAAACTTTGGGAGAGAACTAAACAAATTCCAGGGAATCAGGTGATGAAAAGACACTGGCGTTGAATAGGTCACATACTGAGAAAAATCTGAGAACAGTATAACTAGGAGGACTTTACACAGAAACCCACAAAAACAGAGTTCTAGGGTGAAGTTAAAAAGACGGGCAACATATAGTTAGCTGCAAGTGATAGACAGCAAAGGATAGGATGACTTGGCTTGAGTTGGTTGACAGCCTATGCTCCACTGGGGGGGGGGGGGGGGGAGAGAATAAAGAGCAGAAGATGTGTAACCTCCTCTTGACTTCTTTCAACAAGTGCTGACTGATACATGTCAAATTTGTTCATTCTTCTATTCCTGCCAACCTCAACAACTTCCTGCTTTTTTTTTTCTTATTGTGTACTACATACAACACAATTAAATGGCCAATCAAATCTCTTCTTCCAATGATTATTGTATACCAGACATAGCATCATGGTCTGAAATGTTTCTATGTTTATTATTCGACCCACGCCTGGTTAACATATAGTTCTATGGCCTGCAGTATTTTTGTCAACAGTAGAATCAGTTGGGAGACTGGTTTGACTGACCTAGGCTAGAACTTCCCCTATGAAATCTGCCATATACAGCTGTACCAGGGATTATATCAATGCTCTCTGGGATCAAGTGGACAGTGCAAGGGAACAGAATATCAATTCCTTGAAAGACTGATGATTCAACGGGGAATAAGTAGAGAGTCTTTCAACAAGCAGAGAAGAAGACAGGTGGACTTTTAATCAGGTTGCAACTAGAACAAGCAGTATGGGAACTTTCTGTTCGATGCTGAAAAAGGGGACAGAGCATGTAGGGGAACGCCTCGAGTGCAGTGATGTCAGTTCTTGATTTACTCATTCATTTATGGCATCTACTGATAAAACTGCCAGGAAGTTGGGGGATTATCTCTTTGAGCATCTTATGGCCCTCTACAAGGCAGCTTTTAGACCAATCTATCCATGTCAGCAGTCCCAAAAATCTAGGTAATGTGAACATTCCTGTTACTGCCGTAAAATATTGCTCTGGTGATCACACCCCTCACCATATTGGAAAATCCCATTATAAACAGTTTAGATAAGTGTTACTATTCTTGGTTTTCTCAGTAACAAACAGTCACAAGCTCTCTCTCTATCTCTCTCACACAAACAGAGAGAGAGAGAGAGAGACAGATAGACATACACACTTATACTCTCACAAACACACATTATATCTCACACACACAAACTGTCATACATACTCTTAAACACACATGCACACAAAGACACCTACTCACCATCATTGGCTGTCCCATAGGGGCTGCTACTGGCTGGTTGTACATCATTGGGGCCCCCATCTGTGGACAGATACAAGCGGGAACATGTTGACTGTAAGCAAAACATGGCAGATATTGGGGTGTCGGGGTCCCATCAGGCAACTTGTCCATGAGAATGCTTCTTTTTCTTCTACTACTGCGTTCACCCTTTAAAAAAGTGGCTGGCACATTGTGTTGTGGTTTAAAGATAGCCTGCTATATCTGTGCCTCAAGGCTCAACTCATCCGATTTTTACAAATCCTTTTAGGATATGCTTGTCAGTGCGGCAGCAGGTTTACCCCCCCCCCCCCCCCCCCCCCCATGAGGACCTGAAACCCACACTGGCAAGAATGTGTCAATTTAATCTTACAGGGCAACCTTATATCTTGTCTTAGCTGAACCATGCACATACGTACACACACACAAGATGAGAAGCTACAAGAGAAACAACCAATTACACCCCCCCCCCCCATCCCAACCCCTTACCCCCCCCCCCCCCCCAATCAAGCCGAACAATGAACACACAGCCCTACCATGCCAGAAGGCTGCTGGAAGCCTGGCTGTCCTCCCCAGGCTGTGGTGGTGGATGGTGCCATGGGCTGTCTCTGGAATGCATTGCCCCCTGTAAGTTTACTCTCTCCCTTGGGCTGCCACTGATGGTCCCTAGAACATCAACAACACAACAATGAATCTAGCAGCAGCAGCAGGCGAATACCTTGTTTCCCCTGAAAAAAAAACCTAACCCAAAAATCATGACTTTCAGCTAGATCCACTGTGTCTTCAAAGGAAAATTGTATACTGACTTCAACACTGTGCTACCAGCACCAAATATGGAGACATTAAAAAAACACCTCATGTAAAATCAACACTTGTGCGACAAGAGCCCTCACTGTTATTACTGCCTGCACTTTTCCCAATTTTCAGAAAGAAACTAAAAACATTGGGATATTAATCGTGGACTATGAGATGATTTAAGAACTGACATCACAGAACTCACAACATTTCCATAAGCTCCGTCCTCATCTTCAGCAGCCAGTTTCCTGTGTGGCTCCAAAGCTCTTTTTGGGGGGAGGGGGATGAACCCACTGCCACGCTAACAATCATTTAATAAAAGATGACTAATTAGGGTTGTTTCTTTCAAAGACGGCATGCAATTTCCTGACAGGAAAATCTCAAGTTCTGGAACAAGGTCAAAGTCCAGAAGTGGACGAACAACCAGAACTTTTAGTTAACAGCCGGTAAGTGCTGAGAAGAAGAAGCAGCAGTAAAGAGTTCTAGTGCCAAAGGTACTAGTATCAGTTTAATTGTATGTCTGTCCCGCCTTTCCCTGAGTGTAGAGTATTGGCCAAATCCCTGGTCACTCCGCCCCGCAAACTTTTCTCTACACGGTAATGATCTATTTGTGCTTCTGCATGGACTGCAGTGTGGTTAAGTCAACGTTTAAACACTACAACTAAATGGAATCCCTGTGGGGGTTCCGAGGCCCTATTATAGGGAAAACAAGAAAGGACCCACTGCCTACACAAAAGTCAATTGGGGGCTTCCTTTGAAGTCAGAGTGCATCTGCCTGAGAGGCAAAGAGCCAACAAGCATACAAATGAGTCAGATCTGTAAAACGGAAGCACAAGCAAGACTCAGGTTCTGGACGGGACTGAAGTCCAGAAGTGGATGAACAACCAGAACTTTCCGCCAAAGTTTACAGCTGGTGAACATAAAGAAGAAGACTAAAAAAAAGAAGCACATACTTTTTAACAGCTCCACGGACGCTGAGGTTTGAGGCTAATGATGCCAGCGACGTGTCCAGGTCCTTCCCGATGGCTTGCGTCTGCTGGATCTGTGATGTGTGAGATGGTGATGCACTGGGCTTGTTTACGGGTTGCAGAACATCACCAAAAGCATCAAATCCTAAACAGACAAAAGTCCACATTCATTCAGTGATCCTAACAATACTGTGTGCAAACAACAAATACAATAACAAAAACATGTTCACACAAGTGTTTCAGGTTTACAGTGCTATACTGTTACAGTTGATGCAACCAAATTATGGTAAATGTGAACCTTGTCTATTGTTTATACCCAAAAAGAAAATTATGGTAAATATGAACTGTCTGTGGTATATATTGCCTAATTATGGTAAATAAAAACCTTGTCTATGGTTTATACAATAAAAAATATGGTAAATATGAACTGTTTGTGGTGCATATTGCCAAATTATGATAAATATGAATTGTTTGTTCTATATATTGCCAAATTATGGTAAATATGAATTGTTTGTGGTATATTGCCAAATTATGGTAAATAATCTTGTCTATGGTTTATACAAAAAAATTATGGTAAATATGAATTGTTTGTGGTGCATATTGCCAAATTATGGTAAATTTGAATTGTTTGTGGTAAATATTGCCAAATTATGGTAAATATGAATTGTTTGTGGTATATATTGCCAAATTATGATAAATATTAACATTGTCTATGGTTTATACAATAACAAATATGGTAATACGATATACAACAAAATCATGGTAAATATGAATCCTGTCTGTGGTATGTATACACACAAAAAATATGATAAATATGAACTCTATGGTTTTTACAACCAAATTATGGTAAATATGAACCCTGCCTTTGGTTTATGCAACTAAAATATGGTAAATATAAACTATGTCTGTGGTTTATACAACCAAATTATGGTAAATATAAACTATGTCTGTGGTTTTTACAACCAAATTATGGTAAATATAAACTATGTCTGTGGTTTATACAACCAAATTATGGTAAATATGAACCCTGTATGTCTGTGGTTTATACAACCAAATTATGGTAAATATGATCTATGTCTGTGGTTTATACAACCAAATTATGGTAAATATGAACTATGTCTGTGGTTTATACAACTAAATTATTGTAAATATGAACTATGTCTGTGGTTTATACAACCAAATTATGGTAAATATGAACTTTGCCTGTGGTTTATACAACCAAATTATGGGAAATATGATCTATGTCTGTGGTTTATACAACCAAATTATGGGAATAATGAATACTTGTTTATAAAAAGAAATGTAAGATTTATACACCCACATTTTTGTTTCATACAACAAAATTATGATTTATGCAGCTCAAGTAATATGAATACAACCTATATTCAACCAAATTATAATTTATACAACTGAATTATGGGTTTCTACAGTGTAATTAACAATTCAAAGAATGAATTATAATTTATACATTTGAATATATGGTATAAACAACTAAACTTATACAACAAAATGACTACTTTACAACCAATTTATGGGTTATTGAACTAAATGTATGTTCTTTTTTCAAATAATTAGTTTAGACATTCAAATATATTTCGACCCCCCAAAAAAAAAAAAACAGTATACTTCACACAACCAAATCTTTGGTTGATACATCTAAATCCATGAATGATAAAGAAAAAATGGCATTTACATCGATAAATATCTGCTACACAAGACCACTGTTACCACACTAAAAACTATAATCTACAGCTCAAACAAGTACAATGTTTGGTTTATATCAGTCTTTCTCACTTAGTGGTCTAGTAGCAACAATTTAAGGGGTCCATGATTTCAGTTGTTGTTTTTTTTTTAACTACAGCTTTAAGATTCCAAACCTTTTTGCAGATTAAGGATTATCAACTCTCTCGCTCTGGAAACATCTTCCCCCCCCCCCCCCCCCCCCCCCCCCCCCCCCCCCCCCTTTTCCCGGGGGAAATGACTCGGCTAGAATTCCAGGAAAAAAACTTTTTTTTAAGGGTAATACATTTGAAACAAAAAATTTTTTATTGTACATTTTTTTAAAACATATTAAGATATATGAAGTGAGTACATGAACAGTGTGAAGCATTAAGAAGAATACACTCCCTGGGGCCTGAAAAAATATGTATCAGGTGACTAAATTCTGTGACTTTATGATGCAGTTGATTTTTAGTCTTGGTTAATTCTGCCATAATGGACAGTGAAGAACATGTGTGTAGCTTTCCCTGTCATAGGAACTGACTAACTATGGGGTGAATTTTGAGACCAAAGTTGTATGATCTCCCATCAACTATGTTTAATTGATTTTGTGCCTGTTTTGTTATATTAATTCTTCAGTGAATGCAATGATAGTCATGCAGTAAAAGACACCAGCAAGCAATAATCTATCATCTACTACTGACAGGGGAAAACAACCAGGCTCTCTAAACATTTACTTTGAGAAACAATAGCCATAACAACTCTACTAAACTAAATCCATGCTAGTGATACAATAAGATAGTGCACTATTTTATCCAAGCTTTGGAATGTCGCAATAGCTGCAAGGATGCAAGGAGATAAACTGACCACTAATGCTACTTTCTCTCACTAAAAGACCAGTTTATACATCAAACAGTTTGCTAATGCTACCTTCTCCCACTGAGACACAATTACTACTGAGAATGTTTGTAATACTACTTTCTCCCACCAAGACACAGTTATTACCAAGACGTTTTAATGCTACTTTCTCACAGTAAGACACAATTATAAATAAGACAGGTTTTTTAATGCTACTTTCTCCCACCTAGACATAATTATCACTGAGACTGTTTGTAATGCTAATTTCTCCCACTAAAACACAATTATAAATAAGACAGTTTTCTGATGCTACACAATTATCATTCAGACTGTTTCTAATGCTAATTTCTCCCACTAAGCCACTTTCTCCCAGAAGACAGGTTTAAGTTTTAACCAGAAGACAACTATCACTAAGACTGTCTGCTAATGCTACATCCTCACAATAAGAAACAGTTATAAATGAGACTGTCTGCTAGCATACCTTTCTTCCAAAAAGACAATTATAAATGTGATCGCTAATGCTACTTTTGTACATACACAATTTCTTTATCTTATTGGTGAACTGATAATTTATTCTCTATTATTTAGTGGTAAATTGATAACACAATTTCTCTTCCCTTATCTAGTGGTAAATTAATTTAAAAAGTTTCTCTTCTAATGATTAATTAATAACAAATAAATTCTTTTGCTTTTCACTGAACAACCTATCTCACAAAATTTTTCTAAATTTATTATCTTCCTCATATTATCAAAGGCAAACAACATCAGAGAAAGACAAAAAAGAACAGTAGGCAGTATGATAGACAAAAATCCAAAAAGTAAATAGACAAAAGAAATCGAAGAAAGAATGTGAAGTCTTAAAATGCATTAACTATTTTATTATATAAATATATATATATATTTTTTTGTAAACTTTTTTTTTTTTTTAAGTTAAGACTTCTGAAAAGCATGTATTTTCAAAATTATGCTCAGAATCAATTTAATTTTCAGATGTTAATTAAAATGGGTAAGGCCATCAACAGTACTCAATGTCCTTTTGGCTTAAAGAACACATTTACACTGTTAAATCATATCAAATTACTTTTGAAAAATATATAATTTCCAACCTATGAATAAGCGTCAAATGATTTTTTTTTTTCCTTTTTCTGAAGTCTAGATCCTCATGCTAAATATGCCATCATTAGTCTGAATTAATTACTGTTACTAGCATACCGCGACTCTCAGAATCAGAAAGAAATCAGATCCAGCGGGTATCTTTAACAGGTACAAGAATTTCCTGTATTGCATATACATTCTATGTCTATTGATTAACAGGCTACCAATTGCAACTACGTTTGTGGGTAACTGGTGTTACCAGAGACCTTCCCAGATCAGGAAGACTAAGACTGACCATGCAAAGTCCAGAGTGGTTTATTCACACAGTTCATTTACGGAACCATTTTCAGTCAGGACAATGGATACATAAATACACCACCCAAAAACAGACATGTTTCTCTGAACACTCTGTTCAGCGCAATCAACTTCAGCCACTCCACATCGAAAAAAGACTTCAGTGAGTAAATGTGCTTGTCAGATGGAAATGGCAGCCTGTCATGTTCTCAGATGAGTTAAGATTTACGGTGGAAAGACATGGCGGCAGAATGAAGCTGTACAGACGTCCACATAAATGATCTACTCATAAATGAACCCACAAGGCTTTGAACTTTGATGGGGGCAGCATCATCGGATGGCCAGAAATAACAGAGAACTTCAGAACACAGCTGGTGCCAATATGGTGGAACATCACTGTGCAGCAGTACATACACAATGTTCTACCACCACATGTTGTACCCCTTTTTTTTTTTTTTTTACTCCTGGACAAGACTTTACTTTTAAGCATGACAAGGCAACCCTCAGCACTAGTACTGCTGCATTTCTCTTGCAGAACAACAATAATTGTCTCTGTCAATGGCCTGCAATTTCACCTGAGCATGAAGAGAATATGCTAAACACTTATGTCTGAAACCTGCCTAATCCACATCAAAATGTTACAGCTTGAAAATGAACTCAAATATGCTTTTGGCCAAGAGAAACATCGGTGCAAGTCAAACTTTACGGGTCGCTGAGTGAATTACATAAGACAGTGAAGTTCATGCTAGAGACAACATGGCAGATATAGATAACCTATTTCAAGCGAACAGAAGAAAAAGAAGAAGAAAACTTGCTTGGAACAATCTTGCATAAGCCGCAGTCTGAAACTTTATCCACTCAATGAGACGCCACTGTGGAGTTGTGATTAATGCCAGAGAAGGGCGCAAAGAAGCAGTGTGACTTTTCATTCTGAACCCCCATGTGAGTATCACCTGGCTTATATTTACAAAGCAAATTCCTTCAAAACTCATTCCATATTAAAACACTAACAAATGCAGACTGTCAGAAAACTGTGTTGCAATCGGACCAAAACAACACAAGTTAGTGATGGAAATATGAAGTGTTAACTTTCTGTTGCAGGAAGTCTATTAAAGTAAAACCGGGACTTAAGCAAAATTGACAAACTTGTGTTTTCCCAAGAAAACTTTTTTCAAAGATTAAAGTTTGTGGTGTGTTGGATTGTGTATTTTTATATCTACTGTAAGGTAAACGTCCCTTTTAATGCTTTCAGCACAGCAGGAAAATAGGACCGGACCTATAACTTTATAGACCAATCAGCACTTGATGGGAGATGTTGTCAATATCATGCTGGACACCTTTACTTCCAAGGACATTACCTAGTGCCAACTGTAGGCTGAGTCAACCTAGCAGCCAAGATCAACTCGCAAAATATTTACCTTGATGTGGATTTGACTCCAAGACCGCTGAGCCGGCAGGGGAAGATCTCGTAACTAAGCTACCATGACTCCCTATCTCTCTGTCCTTCTCTCTCACGCCTGTGTGTGTATGTGCAGGGTGAGACAATGAGACAGAGACAGGCAGAGAGAAAGACAAAGAGTGTTTGTGTGTGCATGGGAGGGAGGGAGGGGGAGGGAGGGAGGGAGAGAGAAAGAGAAAGAGAGAGAAAGAGAGAGAAAGAGACAGACAGACAGACAGACAGACAGACGGACAGACAGACAGACAGACAGACAAACAGACAGACAGACAGACAGAAAAAGAGAGTGAGAACATATAGGACCCAACAAGACTAACCAAAAATTCTTAAAGTACAAAGGAATATTGACAAGATTAAGATCAAGAAAGCTGTTTCATCAATGGCTGAGTAACATCATCAGTTGTACATGACAAGGTCTAACACAGAACAATAAGCATTAGTGAAACAATGGGTAAGGTCTCCAGTGAAATCAAACACACACACACATACATGACCAATACAACAAAAAACATCCAAGAAACTATCAACCCTGAAATCAGATCTAACATTCAACAATGAAATACGTATAATACTAAAATACATATAATATTACTGAAACACATGTAATACTGAAAGAATGTAGACTGCGGAAATAAAGCTGTGTATCGTTAATACTACTATGACAAGGCATAGCATTTCAACTTAAGATCAACTACTTCAATGAGGTATAGCATTTCAATTAAATTATCAGTAAAAACAGAAGGAATACTACATAATCTGTTCAAATAATAGACAAAGAACAAATTAAATAAATAAAAAACTAATGAGCACAGATAGACAATTTTAAAAAAAAATGGGACAATATATGGCACAATACAACAACAGATGCAAAGTTGGCCAGGTACTAAAAAAACTGTCTAGCTACATTGGCCTGCATCATCTGACACAAGGATATACCTGAGCCCAAGCTGGCAGATTCCTGTTCCTGGACGCCCTGACCTGTGCTGTGACCCCCGAACCCAATCATGTCTCCACCAAAGGAAGTATCCACTATAGCTCCGGAGGCCTGGGAAGTGGACATACCTGCAAACTGCTGTCCAGGGGAAAGAGGTCGAGATGCTGGTTTTGTCCCAGTTTTGTCTGCCCCTCCCCTTGAGGGAGACATTGTCAGACCCAGCGCTCGGACTGCATCTTCTAATCCTGGGCCAGAAGGGGAGGATGACAGTGAGGCAGCTGGTGACTTTCCTCCCCGGGTCATGATCCTCACAGGTGATCCACCCATGCCCAGATTAGGGCTTCCAGGGACAGCAACTCCAACAGACCGAGGTCCAATTGGGCCCGAAATGTTCACAGGCATGGAGTGACCCAAATTTTGGTAATATCCGTGAGTCTGCATCATCCCCTGGCCCATCATGTTTGCAGGTACCGAAGGCTGACCATAAAATGCCCCCTGTGGAGCAGATGAGCCTACCAACCCCCCAGGCATTCCAGTCCCAAAGCCAGAACCCCCAAAAGACCCAGCATCAAAACCCTGCAGTGGGCGGCCACCAAGAGGAGCAGCAAAACCCCCAACAGGTGACGGAACTGGAGACGCACGCATGGGGTCTGTGCCCTCTAGACCTGACAAGGAGCCTCCAAGCGAATGTGGAGTTGGGACAGGAGAAGGCTGAGGGGCCAAACCAGCAAAGTCAGTGGACAGTCCAGGGCTAGGAGATACTGCCGGTCCCCCAGAGCTCTCTAGCAGGTCCAGAGGGTAGAGATCCAATCCAGCTGATGGCAACAAATAGAAGAGTCAAGAAAGAATGATGAGGATAGATTAAGTATGGCAGATTGTCTCTGTGGAATATTGATACTGGCAACACACTGCTAATTTTCAGCAATGGAGTTTGCTCTTTGTGTGATACTCTTAACAGGCGGCTAGCCGTTCTGCAGAGAGAGAGACAAAGCCATATGGGATAAAACTCAGTGCAAGCTGTGGAATGAAGTCGATCCTCTCTCTTTTAACAACTTACAATCTGTCAAAATGAACAGTTGTGATAAACTGTGTGGTGGAAATCTCTAGCACTCAGATCTCAGCGTTTCACACAATAGCTTATTGCATCTTCTTCAACGTTCTCACATCTTGTGGTTCACTGCTGCAGATATCACTCATCTCTATTCATCTCTTTGACTGGTCTCTTTTCGGTCCGTGACTTTTAAGTGTTTGTCATTTAATGTTCCAGAGTGGATGTCCACTTTAATCCATCCAAATTTGAGGCTTACATTTCTGTTTAGTGATGAAAAATGAGGCTTCACATAGGCGGGGTGTCAGCCCTTTTCTTCAGATGCCCCGCCCCTTCCCCTGTACTTTCTGGGGGAAAACTGGGAAAAATAAAATAGACACACTGTCCCAATAACAAGCATTTTACACAAGATTAGCGGTGTTTTCTTCTAAGTTGGAGTGAGCCTGCCTGTGGGGCAAGGAACCAACAGTCTGCATAAAATAAGCAAGATCTATAAAACAGATGTGCACACAACGCTCAGGTCCTGGAGCAGAACAAAGTTATACATTATGCCCCCTTCTTTGGGAGCCCGTTTCCAAATGACCATGAACAGGTGTAAGTAGGTCTTGACCAGCATGAGCCCTGTTCCTGGTGCATCACAATGTGTGTTTTAACATCCCTGCATCACTGTCTATTTTCCATACAAAAACTATGCCTGTGACATCTTCTTCTGTTGCTGTATACATCTATAACAAGAGATAGTGCTATGTTGTGTAATGGCTTACAGCTCAACAAATCCACTTTCAGCAAATCCCTAATCAGTTGCCTTTCACGACCAATATCTGTGGCCATCATGTTGGGAGGAGGGGTGGGGGTGGGGGGGGGGGCACAGAGAATTAAACAGCCACAAAACCAGAAAATACTGGCATTAAATAGAGTCTATCTAGGTGGTATACCTGGTGGAGCCTTGCCTGAAGTGCCTGCAGGTGAAGAAAACAACCCTGCAGCAATAAAAGACAGGTGTAGTTTCCGCATGGCCGAGTACATGAGACAGTTGTTGTCACAGTTCAGCAGTATGGAGTCCCGCCCATTGAAGTATGTGAGATTTGTTTGATCCCACGAAGCAACACATATGACAGTTACAGATCCCATTCAGGCCCATGTACAACAAAGTTGCATTATGTACAGCAGCACATGAGTCAGTTGTAAGTGCCATTCATCAGTCCAACCAAGAGAGAGTTGTAAGTTGCAGATCAAGCCCAGTCACAAGTGAAAGCATGAAGTCAGCACGAGGTACACAGACACAATAATGACAATCCCCAGCAGGTTATGTAGCGAGGGTTGCGGCCGCACAGTCGGTGGTGTCCGGATTCACATGCAAGTTGCAGCCAATCGGGCCACATACGAGAGCGCAGGAAGTTGTGAGTGTAAGAAAGCCAGCATGCAAAAATGGAAAGAAAGAGAACATAAAAATACATTTGCAATTCTAGTTCACAATGGTTAGATGAGAATGGTGGCAATAAAACTGACATTAAACTGATATGAGGTGACAGGTGCAGAGTTTATGATTCCAGAAGTTGAAAAACTTTTCGGTGATCCTTAAAGTGTCAGAGAGAAGACTTCATCAACTTTTATCAGCAGTGAGAATTTCAAGTGCCACCTTTCAATTATTTAGGTCATCTTGTAAGTTGGTGAGGGCAATTATTCACTCCAATCCATCTATTTTCATCACAAACTACACCACTGCCGATGTCTGCCCCAATCCATCTATTGTCATCACAAACTATACCACCTTTGGTGTCTGCACTTATTCACACACACAAAATCTACTGTCACTACATTCTCTATCATTCCTGGTGTTGACGTTGTTACAAAGCTTTGTGTCAATGCAGATGACTTATTTCACAAGTCACAATAACATATTTGACATTATGTTGACACTATAGAAATGACACATATGTTATCTCTTTTTTCTTCCGTGTTTGCCCTTAAAAGGGTGGTTTGCATGTTGTGTTGTGGACTACAGCTAGTCTGCCTATCTATGCCATTTGGCTCAATACCTCTGATTTCAGCAAATCCTTAAGTAGCCATCTTTTATGACACCTGTGTTAAAGAGCAGAAATAAATAGGGGGACTCCTTAAGGCCATAGATATAGTATAATATACAAACAGAAAGACATCATGTGTGTCAGAATTCCTACAATTGCATTTATTTATTTTTCCCTCGTCGCTTTTTGTTTACATTTAGTTCCAAAAAACAGAAAAATCTGGCATCATTTTGGTCACTTCCATTATGCATCTGGTTTCTTTAAAAACGTATTACTAATGATTCTTCAGTTGTCACATCCTGTCTTGGGAATCTCATGATGTCTAAAGTATGTGTCTATCGTGTTAAAAGCATGTGTGTTTGGCATGTAAAAACATCTTACCATGTCAAACCGTCTGTCTACTGTATCTAAATGTCTGCGTCTGCTGTTTCAACACATCTGTATTTACTGTATCTAAATATCTGCACAGATGGAATGCCAAAGCATCTATGTTTGTCATGTCGGCCTACCTTCAGTAGCTACTGTGTCTAAATGTCAGTATCAGCCACATCTAAATGTTCCTGTCTGCCACATGTAAACATACCTGTCTGCCACACCTAAACATCCCTGTCTGCCACACCTAAACATCCCTGTCTGCAACACCTAAACATCCCTGTCTGCCACACCTAAACGTCCCTGTCTGCCACATCTAAACGTCCCTGTCTGCCACATCTAAACGCCCCTGTCGGCCACACCTAAACATCCCTATCTGCCACACCTAAACATCCCTATCTGCCACACCTAAACATCCCTATCTGCCACACCTAAACATCCCTGTCTGCCACACCTAAACATCCCTGTCTACCCCACTTACACATTAGTGTTTTGTGTATGTGTGTCAAAATGTCAGTGTGTGTCATGCCCAAACATTTTTACCTACCACATCTGTGTCTATTGTGTATAAAGGAATGTCTCTATCTGCCTTGTCTAAACGTCTGTGTCCAAACATCTATCCAGCTTAAACGTCTGTATCTACCACGACATCTCCTGGCTTCGTTGTGTACTTGGCCTCTTTAAAAGCATAGTACCAACAACTTTTCTTAGCTGGCCTGTCCTGGCTTGGGAATCTGCTAAAGAAACTTCTGGTAATGAAAGAATGAAACAATCTTGGGTCTCCAACAATGTGCAGAGCCACAATGAAGGAATGAAATGACAACATTGAATGAAAACATGGAGAAACAAAGCAAAGATGTGGATAAATAAATCAAGCTGATGACCAATAATAAAACACAACATAAATACAAGAAAATGTTCAAGAGTGGACACAAATCGCATGAACACCCAGAAGCTGAAACCATGAACCCACCTTGTGTGCCCGTCACTCCGTTATTGAAAGCCATGGCAAAGTCAGCATCTGATGAGAAGGCATTCCCTGTTGTAGTTGTTGCAGTAAAACCTGTTGGTGATACCATGGAATACTTCACAAATATACATGACATACAGCAGTAAAACCTGTTGGTGATACCATGGAATACTTCACAAATATACATGACATACAGCAGTAAAACCTGTTGGTGATACCATGGAATACTTCACAAATATACATGACATACAGCAGTAAAACCTGTTGGTCATACCATGGAATACTTCACAAATATACATGACATACAGCAGTAAAACCTGTTGGTGATACCATGGAATACTTCACAAATATACATGACATACAGCAGTAAAACCTGTTGGTGATACCATGGAATACTTCACAAACATACATGACATACAGCAGTAAAACCTGTTGGTGATACCATGGAATACTTCACAAATATACATGACATACAGCAGTAAAACCTGTTGGTGATACCATGGAATACTTCACAAACATACATGACATACAGCAGTAAAACCTGTTGGTGATACCATGGAATACTTCACAAACATACATGACATACAGCAGTAAAACCTGTTGGTGATACCATGGAATACTTCACAAACATACATGACATACAGCAGTAAAACCTGTTGGTGATACCATGGAATACTTCACAAACATACATGACATACAGCAGTAAAACCTGTTGGTGATACCATGGAATACTTCACAAATATACATGACATACAGCAGTAAAACCTGTTGGTGATACCATGGAATACTTCACAAATATACATGACATACAGCAGTAAAACCTGTTGGTGATACCATGGAATACTTCACAAATATACATGACATACAGCAGTAAAACCTGTTGGTGATACCATGGAATACTTCACAAACATACATGACATACAGCAGTAAAACCTGTTGGTGATACCATGGAATACTTCACAAACATACATGACATACAGCAGTAAAACCTGTTGGTGATACCATGGAATACTTCACAAACATACATGACATACAGCAGTAAAACCTGTTGGTCATACCATGGAATACTTCACAAATATACATGACATACAGCAGTAAAACCTGTTGGTGATACCATGGAATACTTCACAAACATACATGACATACAGCAGTAAAACCTGTTGGTGATACCATGGAATACTTCACAAATATACATGACATACAGCAGTAAAACCTGTTGGTCATACCATGGAATACTTCACAAATATACATGACATACAGCAGTAAAACCTGTTGGTGATACCATGGAATACTTCACAAATATACATGACATACAGCAGTAAAACCTGTTGGTGATACCATGGAATACTTCACAAATATACATGACATACAGCAGTAAAAACCTGTTGGTGATACCATGGAATACTTCACAAATATACATGACATACAGCAGTAAAACCTGTTGGTGATACCATGGAATACTTCACAAACATACATGACATACAGCAGTAAAACCTGTTGGTGATACCATGGAATACTTCACAAATATACATGACATACAGCAGTAAAACCTGTTGGTGATACCATGGAATACTTCACAAATATACATGACATACAGCAGTAAAACCTGTTGGTGATACCATGGAATACTTCACAAACATACATGACATACAGCAGTAAAACCTGTTGGTGATACCATGGAATACTTCACAAATATACATGACATACAGCAGTAAAACCTGTTGGTGATACCATGGAATACTTCACAAATATACATGACATACAGCAGTAAAACCTGTTGGTGATACCATGGAATACTTCACAAATATACATGACATACAGCAGTAAAACCTGTTGGTGATACCATGGAATACTTCACAAAACATACATGACATACAGCAGTAAAACCTGTTGGTGATACCATGGAATACTTCACAAATATACATGACATACAGCAGTAAAACCTGTTGGTGATACCATGGAATACTTCACAAACATACATGACATACAGCAGTAAAACCTGTTGGTGATACCATGGAATACTTCACAAATATACATGACATACAGCAGTAAAACCTGTTGGTGATACCATGGAATACTTCACAAACATACATGACATACAGCAGTAAAACCTGTTGGTGATACCATGGAATACTTCACAAACATACATGACATACAGCAGTAAAACCGGTTGGTGATACCATGGAATACTTCACAAATATACATGACATACAGCAGTAAAACCTGTTGGTGATACCATGGAATACTTCACAAACATACATGACATACAGCAGTAAAACCTGTTGGTGATACCATGGAATACTTCACAAATATACATGACATACAGCAGTAAAACCTGTTGGTGATACCATGGAATACTTCACAAATATACATGACATACAGTTGTATACATTAAATGTGTTTTTTCTTTTAAAGTAAAGGACCCATTTCATGACTATGGCATTTGGAGCATATAGTGCTGGACTTTTATTTTATTTTTTCATAGATCAATTAATACTCAAAGGGTGATATGGTCAACATCATTCCGACCACCTTTACTTCCCAGGACATTACGTGATATTCATTTGAGGATGGGCTGACCCTGGGGTCAAAGGAGACATACACTATTATACAGTCTTTCCTCTGCTGCCCTAAGATGCAGTTCTGATGCAGAATCTATCAAAAAAAAATTTTTTTAACTCGACCACGTTCAACCTGCTGTTAGCCAGCCGAAGCAGCCAACAGTCTCCGGTTATATTTGTGTTCTGGTTTATTTGCGCCACTTTCGTGGCTAAGGTTTGAGATGTAGTGGGGACTTACAATATTATACAGTCTGTCCTCTGCTGCTATGAGACGAAGTGGGGACTATTATAGTCTTTCTTCTTCCCTTAAATTGGTGGAGATATTCGTTTTGTAGGTTTTTCAATTCTACCTTGAGATACAGAGGAGACCCAATTTTGTACAGCCCTTCCTCTTCTATTCTGAGATGTAGAAACACCTAAAATTCTAGTGTAGTATGTGTTGTAGGGGTATTTTACCAGTCTTTCCTAGTCCACCATAAGACGTAGAGCCATTTTTTGGTTTTGCACACACATTATGATCTTTTCCTCTTCTTCTTAGTATTCACCAGCTGTAAACTACGGCAGAAACTTCTGGTTGTTTGTCCACTTCTGGGACTGTGGTCTTGTTCCAGAACTTGAGCTTTGCATGTCCAGCTATTTAAATGATTTGTAGAAACTGCTGGTTCCTCACCTCTCAAGTGGATGCACTCCGACGCTGAAATAATACCTCATGAAAATGTTTAGCCAATTAGGAAATGAATAAGCTGACAGGCTTGCATGTAAGGTTAATGTGGAGAGCAGATGAGCAACGGCCCAGATATATCAAATTCTCTGCAAGAAGTAAAATGTATGCAGGAATCAGGTGATAACTGTGAATTTGCAAAAATGACCAGACTGCAAAAACAGTAAGAGAAAAGGGATGAGGCCAGATTAGAGCACTGTGCAGGAACGCAAAGAAAAAGAATAAACCTACTCAGAACTGGTGTTGTCAGTCGCTACGGTCTCCAATGTGTCTGCTGATATACTGTCACACATCAGACTATGGTCAGCAGAACGCTTCCCAGAGGACTAGACCCAAGAGTTGGGTTAGTTGCGTATCCTTTACAGGATGTTACAAAACTAACCCCAACAGCCCTTTGCTGTTGTGTGGTTTTTCAAGGCAAATTTACGTTCCCTACCAGGGACTGGCCAATGTAGATAGGGGATCACCATTTCCTTTTAAGTTGGAGAGCACCAGAAGAAGAAGAGAAAGAGCTTTTGGAAGAAAAAATTCAAGATAAAATTCAAGATAACATCTCACCGTTGGTCTGAAACACGGGTGCACCAAATGGGTTATTGCTAGCCTGAGGATATGCGGAGGTCATGACATTCTGCACACTGTCCATGAAAGGGTTGCCTGTGAGACTGAGCAGGTCATCGCTGGGTTTACTGCTGGCACTGAGTACTGGCATCGAGGGCTCTGTGGGTGAGCCAAACAAATTGGTGGTCTGGGAGGAGCTGACAGGGGATGAATCAGCAAATGGGTTGCTAGAGGCAGCAGCAACTGGGGATGCCTTCTGCTGCTGTACCGCATTGGCTTCCTTCAGCTTCTGTTCCTGCAGACAAATTCATTGAAAATTAACTGTCAGCAAGATCATCAAAAAGGGACACTTATAACTGATTTAAGAATCAACATTATCGCACACTGGGCGTACCCAAAGATGCTCCGTCTTCCTTAGCAAATGTTTATTAACTCTACCAGACCGCTGGCCCGCTATTACGGGAATTTCCTAACCTGCCACTAAACCGCTGTCCCTCAATGTCGGGAATTTACGTACTATGAGAAAACAATGAGTCACAAATTAAAATAACTAGCCAATCATAATCAGATCTCATGGATAGTCTTCCATGATGTCCGCCTGCATGTGTTTGGAAAAAATTTGTGCTGTTTTACGTGAAAAAATTCTGGAAATTCACAATTAAAATGAGCGGCTGATGAACCAAGCACTTCGACAGGAAAGTAAAGTAGGTCTAGGCTTTTCACAGTCCAACAGGTGATCGATACTTTGGTTTATTCAGACTCTGCGGAGTCATAATTTCATGAAGAATATGTTCACAGTTAAAGTGACTCAGTCAGTGAGAGCTGGAATGATGAGGAGAATCTTGCAAATTATAAATCTAGAAATAGATCAAAAGTAGGAAAAGGGGGCGTGTCCCTCAAACAGCAACATCTAGTGTTCACTTTATGAAACCAGGTTGATCCTGCTGGGTGGTTTAGCACACAAAGGTGGAATATTGGCGCTAGATAACAGGTTAACCTATTTTCTACAGTGTCTCCAAGTTTCATCTTATTCTAGCCACTTGTTTGCATGTAACTAATATTTGTGTATATCATGTTAGTTTTTTCGTGTTAATGCACAGGAGCTCAGGTATAGAAGGTAGTTATGTTCAGGACCTGAGGTCTAGTAGAGTTAAGGTGTGGATGCTAACTGTTCCTGTAGCACACTGATTATACACATGTCATTCACTTCCTCTCATACACACGTCCTTGCCGGATCCACTCCTTATTCACACACTCTTACACGTGTTATTTCATCTTATCTTGTGTCTTCTGTCAACATTCATTCATGTATCTTCAGGGATAAAACTACACAGCCGATATGCTTGCTCAACCAAGTCAGGTGAACACCCAGCTGTTACAGCCCCACCCCACATGAACTGCAGACTGTTTTATAACGGTAAGGCTCCTCTATTATTAAGTGATGTTATTATGGATGAACAGGCTTTTTAAAATTTGCATCGGTTTGATTCTCATCCTTGAAGTGTTAATGAGAAAACAATGAGTCAGAAACTAAAATAACTAGCCAATCATAATCAATCTCATGGATAGTCTTCCATGATGTCCGCCTGCATGTGTTTGGAAAAAATTGTATAACGGTAAGGGTCCTCTATTATTAAGTGATGTTATTATGGATGAACAGGCTTCTTAAAATTTGCATCGGTCTGATTCTCATCCTTGAGGTGTTAATCCTAAGGACAGCAATCCTGAGAGGAAAGGGGAGGAGGGAGAAGAAGGAATTGACCTACAGCATGACTGTGTGTTTCTATCATCAACATCCTGCTGTGACATGTATATGTCACATCGGGTTCACAATCTATTCATCCATTTCATTTTATTCTGCATAATCCTTACAATAACACTGGTAGAATCTTATTCAGCACCTTTGACCTCTCATCAAAGTTCATCTCAGGTTTTCCTTTGGGTGTCTTCTTTTCCTCATATAATTTCAGTGTCTGTTTGGTAATTCCCTGTCAGCTTCTTGTGGTGAGGTGTCCAGTACTTTACCATCTTCTTGGTCTTATAGCTGTGGAAACCAGTAGTTGTCCAGATATTATCTCTTTTCCCATCATATTCATCACTTTTTCCAGGCACGTTTTCATGGTTCCCTAAATGTGTACACTTAGGATGCCTGACAATGAACTTATGTGTTATGTCACACCTGGCAATGTACATGTGTGTCTTGTCACAGGTGACAATGCACTTATGTGTCTCATCCTACGTGACAATGTACTTATGAGTCCTGGTGCACCTGTGATGGTGAACTCTCACTGACTGACAGATGACAGTACCAGGCAGGATATGTTCAACTGGTTATATTCAAATTAGGCTATTTTTATTAACATCAACATATTTGTATAATGAGACATGACAAAATAAATTTTTTTTTTAAATTGCATTCAAAAACAATAAATAATTACATAAATTATACTGTATAGTTGAAATCCTCCCAAAAATTATTTCACAACCGATATATTATGTGTATTCTACTGGACGTGATACAGTTTGGTTATTACTAATTCTTAGTTATTATTAATTGTTAGTTTTTATTACTGTTAGTTATTATCAATTGTTAGTTACTATTAGTAACTGAACTGAGCAATCGCGTGTTGTGCAAACAAAATGAGCTTGTGGGGGTTTGAAACTGCCATGGTAATTTCAAAGCTAATTTTTAATTCCCAGCGGTGAGACAAAATAACCATAAAAGACGATGCGATTTTTGTATTTCAGTGGAAAGGATTAATTTTTGTGCTTCCTTCTGTAGTAATGCTGATGAAATACAGTGAAGTATGCTGGACAATAAATTGTGCAATGCACTGACTGTTTCTGCATTATTAGTATTTGCCTACACACTGGGTTGGTCAACACTTTATAAAAACAATAACAAAGGTCCATATGTTATATCCACATGGCTACACACTGGTGAAGGACTGTATATACAACTAGAGATTTTAGATACAACAAAGAGAGTTTATATACAACAAAGAGAGTGCCCCCCCCCCCCCCCAAAAAAAAAAATTCTGAAAACATGAAAATATAAATTTAACGAGATTTATTATAATTAAATGACAGCAAAATGAACATGATAAATGAAGAGCAGACATGTGTAAACATTCTCGTGTTAGATGACATTGCACTCAAATCTAAACTCAGAACTGTGACATTGCAATGACCACTTTCTAGAACTTGGAAGAAATTACAATATACATATCAGTGGGTTTCACGACACAACTAGTGCATGCATGGGCAAGAATTCACAGACAGACAACAAGCATGTGCACAGACGGGGAAGATGAATATGGGTAAAAAAGGGATAAGGCAATTATGTGTACATACGTTAAAGACAGTGCACATAAGGGGAAGACAGGTATGTGAACATAAGGGGTAAAACAAGTATGCGTACATTTTGGGAAATATATGCATATATGAATATACACACATATAGGAGAATATATGCATGGTATGTGTGCATACACAAAGATATGTGCACATACACAAATACATGCATCCATAAGATCCAGTGCATCGTAAAGGAAAATACCACTGAGATGAACAGATTCTTACAGGACTATACACACAACTTGCATGCAGTGCAACACCTTGTGACTGCATCTGTACGAATTGAGAGAGGCTGAGTGGGGTGAGGTGAGAGGGAGGAGGAGGAGGAGGAGGAGGAGGAGGAGGAGGAGGAGGGTGGTGGTGGTGGTGGTGGTGGTGGTGGTGGTGGTGGTGGTGGTGGTGGTGGTGGTGGTGGTGGTGGTGGTGGTGGTGGTGGTGGTGGTGGTGGTGGTGGTGGTGGTGGTGGTGGTGTGTGTGTGTGTGAAAAAGAGGGGGCAGGCGCACTCACATGCATGTATGTATGTATGTGTATGTGTAAATGTATGTATATGTATGTGTGTGTGTACATAGCCCCGGTGACCTTGTATGTGTGTGAAAAAGAGGGGGCAGGCGCACTCACATGCATGTATGTATGTATGTGTGTAAATGTATGTATATGTATGTGTGTGTGAGAATGCACACATACATGTATGTATGCTGAGTATCAGCCAGTTCCCCTGGTCACTCCCACTGCCCAAGCAAGAAAAACAGTAGGTGCTGCAACCACTGACTGTATGATCATTTAAAACTCAGCTGTGGCATTTGTAGTTTTCAGCTAAAACACTCAACTGCAACTTCCCATATGTATACTTCAACAAATAATGCCTATTAAGTGAATACAGATTATTCAGTAAAGGCATGCATATGTGTTTATATACACGTACACAAAGAATTACACATATAGACAAATACACACACATAGAGATAACAATACAGATTTATAAATACAAATCTTTTGTCATAGGAATTTGACAGCCTTTTGTCATGACACATCTTCATACCATGACAAAAAGCTGTCAAAAATCTTCTTGCATCATCTTTCTGTCTCTCTTCCCACAGATCTTTCCAATGGTCAAAACATGTTCCAGTTTCCTTCTTCTGATAACATGAACAAAAAAATGATAACTGCTTCTTTCTGATGTTTGTGATAAGTTGTCTTCGAGCACTCGCCTTTTAAGTAATGTCTGGGCTGCTCTTTCTGACTGTCCAAAGAATTCTAAGAATTCTTCTGTAAAACCACATTTCCGAGGCCTGAAGAAATTGTTTGGTTCGTTATTAATTGACCAGGATTCACAGCTGGCTCTATACAGCATGACAATTCTTTTTCTAACCTCCACTGATTTATTGCATAAAATGTTCTTCATTTTATAAAATGCAGTTTTAACCTGTCCATTTCTGTTCTTGATTTCTGCGATACATCATCCGTTGGATGTTATCCATGTGCCTAGATACTTAAATGTCTGTAACTGTCCTAAAATAATGTCCTTGATTTTTATCAAACATTTAATCTATAAATACAAACCTACAAATAACAACAGATACATATACGCAAATAAATGTAGACAAATGAAGACAGCTACATCAAAATATTTCTATAACTACACAGCAATAAATCAAACTATAAATATGAAAATATGTGTGCTCGCACCCATACCCACACACAAAGGAGATAGGAGATATGTAAAAATGCAAATATTCTATGACTGTGGCCAGTCTGGAAGTCATTTCTGGGGTTAGGGTGCAGGTTTCCCAATATAACGTTGCAGCAGTGGATTGTCTGGTGCAGCAGCGAGTTTACAGCACAGGGCATGCTGATTCCGCAAAAGATATCAGTTTCATCAATTCAATGTTTTCTTGTCTAGTCTCATCTTCATCATCACTTTTATTCTATTCCCAACTTCGGATCATCTTATTCTTCTTTCCTGTGCATCAATTCTCCTCTCCTTCTCATTATTATTCTCTTATGACCTTATCATCACTGTTTTTTTCTCACCTGATCAATTTTATCTTTTCTATTCATCATCGCTCCAACGAAATAAAAGTGTGTGCATTAGTTCTCTCTTTATATCTTCTCTCCTTATCATTGTTAATTTTTCTCCTCATCACTGTTATCTTCTCTCCTTATCATTGTTAATTTTTCACCTCATCACGGTTATTGTCTCTACTTATCACAGTTATCTTCACTCCTTATCACTGTTATCTTCACTCATTATCAGCTATCCTCTACTTATCACTGTTATCTTCTCTCCTTATCACTGTTAATTTTTCTCCTCATCGCTGTTATCTTCTCTACTTATCACTGTTATCTTCACTCTTTATCGCAGTTACTGTAACCTTATCTACTCCCCAATGTTGGTCTTCTCTTTCCTTTTCATCATTCCATTCTGCCCCTTATCATAAATAATCTCTTCTCTCTTCAACATTATCATTATTTGTCCTCTTACTGCACTTCCTTGCTCCTAAGTCTTTTTTCATTTCTTTGCACCATGTCCTATCTTGCCAGCAAGGTCCCAGGAGCCACAAATCCTACAACACACTAAAAGACAGAAAAGATAAATGACAACAAGCAGTTCCACAGCTCTAGACTGACTACAACAGCCATCTACAGCAAGCACACAGTGTCAACACAAGGAGAGCTACAATGGGGTTATGTGGGTGGTGTGAAGGGGTGCACATGAGAACCACAGGGCAAAGGTCACCGGGGCTATGTACAACCAGCAGTGGGCTACTCACAAAGATATTCTCAGTGTCACAGCCCTCAGCCTCAAAGCTGAGTTCAGCCTCATCCTCACCCTGCCCAATAGAACACATGGTAAACTGTCAGCATTAACTAACAAAGACAAGCTCCGAGACTTGATGTCTTCCTGACACTTCCACAACAAATCTTTTAGAAAAACCTGGCAAATCCAGTGACAATCAAAAAACAGAAAAGAAAATATGCAATCGTGATTTACTATACCAAATGTACACCATGTGTGCTTACATTTTATCACATCTAGTAAGCTTATGACCTGGTGTTTAACATAGCTGCAGTCATTGAACTGCTGCTGTATAATAATTTGTTTTACAGTAATCATATATGGTACACCCACACCCCAGAATAGAAGATGAAAGACTATATGTAACTATAAGGTCCCTCCAAACCCCAGAGTAGAATAGGAAAGATGAAATAAGACTTCTAAACCTACCTCACAGTAGGAGAGGAAAGGCTAAGAAGCAAGACTGTAAGGCCCTTCTACTTCCAAGGGTAGAAGAGAAAAGACTAAATAAGACTTAAAGTATCTCTACACCCTAAGGTAGAAAAAGAAAGACTAAAACAGACCGTAAGGTTATTCTACATCCCATGATAGAATAGGAATAACAAAACAAGACGGTAAGGAATTGAGGAAAGATGACCATCTAGTCTCCTCAGATCCTGCTTCTGACCTCCTTTTGAGTGAGTGGCAACCACCAACTAGAGTGAATTCAGCTTCTGGAAATGCAGAGCTGAAGTACACATAGTGGTGTATCAAGGTTTACACTGGACATCTCCACAGTTATCATAGAAACAGGTTCCCAACCTGGCCAATATAGACAGTATCAAGTTGGTGAATCTGCCTGAGGGGCAAGGAACCTACAGTCTACACACAAACAAGTCAGATCTGTTAAATAAATGTGCATGCAAAACTCAAGTCCTAGAGCAAAACAAAACAACACAAGTGGACAAACAATCAGGACTTTCCATGAGAGTTCACAGCCGGTAAACGTAAAAAAGGAGATTTGGTTTCTGAGCCTCCAACATAACACCAGGCAAACAAAACAAATCACAGACTGCAGACTGGATAGAATGGAGAAGAAAGCATGATATGCTTGACAACTTGGTCAGACATGAAACTCATTCCGCTAGAGGTGGGTCAGCTGATGAACAGAGAAATGTCATCAGATGGTTGCACTGATGGTTTTCATAAGTGGTTAGTAAGCTGCATTAGTGAAGTGCTTTAAGGGTTTTATTCATGTTAACACTGCAAGTTAGCAGCAACCAATTGTTAATGTGCACACTGACTGACTACCCCAAGTGTTAGTATTAATGAAATCCTCACTACATGCTACAGCTCCCACTTGTTAAAAAACACATATGTTCAATTGCACACACAAATATGCACTCAACACAGCCAGTGTATGTCATTACTATGGGGGGAAAAAGGGGGGGGGGAGAGACAAGGGGGTAGAAAGCCATCTTCCTTACAGATAAGCGAGGGGAAGCAGGAGATCTCTCTTTCTTTATGAAAATCAAAGAGACCTACAATTCAACAGAGAAGTAGACACCGACAGATAGATAATCAGAGATAAAGAGACACACCGTTTTGACATGCCAACACTAAGCCACACAGTTGTAAGGTTAAACATCTACTTTGGGTTAAACATTTCTCTCAGTTAAACCCATCACAGATCAGACATTCACTTTACTAGTTTAGCCACCTATGTGGGCAGGCTTATCCTTGGCACCATGTCAAAGTCACCTCAGTGTAATTTCAGGGCGGTTATTTGTAACTTCAAAATATGCCAACGGCACAATGTGAATTCACACTAAATTAGGTCAATATAAGGTCAAAATTGAGTATAACCTTTCACACAACTACACAATTTTTAGACAGAATTCAATGTTCAAACACACAAATTTTTTGTTGTTGTTGGGGGGGGGGGGGGGAGGGAGAGAGAGAGAGATTAACACTTAGGTGGCTTTTGTGTAATGTTAACAATAACCACTCTCCCTTGGATAAACGACCCACCAAGTCTCTCTTGTTCTTTCTTTCTCTCTTTCGTGTGCGTGTACAAACACACACTCTTTATCTTTCGCACACTCTCTCTCTCGCACACATGCAAACTTTCTCTCCCTTGCACTCTCTCTCTACCCCCCCCCCCCCCCCCCCCCCCACCCACCCTTTTCAGTAAGCCACTCACCTTCAGTTTCTCTAGATGCTGATTCTCTTCATCTAAAATCCTCCTCTTCTCAGTGTCTGAGACATTAAATGTGTTGCTCGTCATCGTGTTCAGAGCCGAAGTGAAACCAACAGGTCTGTAGAAGTAGTTTGGAAACAGGAAATCTACAAGTCAAAGCTAAAGCCAAGAGGACTGACTACAGTGCAGCAGTTGGATCCCAGGTGACTCGGTTTCTCTGCAGAATGGCTACCCACCTGCTGAGAATGTCACACGCGCACACACAGCAAGGACAACGTAGGTCCTCAGTGACAAACCTGAGGAGGCTCTGTATAGCTGCATCATTACCCGAAGGGTGGAGTCCCGAAAACAAGATCACAACCTTCAGAGTGTGATGCAAACAGTACGACCATTTTGCCATGAGATTCCCCCCCCCCCCTCCCCCCCCCCCAATCTACAAATAGAACAGTACAAACAAAATGGGATCTTTAACAAAGAAAGGGTCAGTGGTGAGGTGTTTAATGTCAACCTCTCACCTGGTTTGTCTGGACCCTGTTATGTGTACAAAAATAAAACAGGAATCAGTGGCTAAATGTGGTGCTGATGTCCACTATTATTGGGCCTGGACTTTGTAGACTAAAAGGTTTCTTCTTCTACATTCACCTTAAAATGGTGGCTGGCAGTGTTATGGTTTACAGCTTTGCTGCAATCGATATATACTCTCTCTCTCTCTCTCTCTCCCTCCCTCCCTCCTCTTTCTCTCTCTCTCTCTCTCTTCAACGTAATTTCCACCAACATTTATGTACTTGTCCCATTGTTTTATCAGTCCTCCCAAACATGCCGCATAGAGCTGAGTGCTCTGTTTTCTAAACCACATTTTCAATTGTCTGGGTACCCACCATGAGCACATTTTCTTAAATTTCACAGATCATTCATTATGCTGTATGATGAACCATGTGAGCACCCTATTGCAGCTGCTACAGAGTCAACTGTTATCGCCTGTCATCTATAACAATCTCTTCCACCCACTGCCTCTGTTGCAAACTCAAGAGGACGACTAGATCGGACTTCATCAACAATTTTAAAGCATCCTTGTGGGGGGGGGGGGGGGGGGATTTCTTAATTACTGGTCTCCAGTAGTGTTTTTTGTTGTCTAAGTCACAGGTATGAAAGGGTTATTGTTAATTTAGTTTACAATGTGTTTTTGATCCTATACACATCATCATGAGCCCTGTAAGATGGCTTGGCATTCATGTCTCTCCAGTATCCTGGATTCATTCTCCTCCCCCCAAAATGAGACTCCGGAACTCATATGAGGTAACTTATTATCACTAATGCAGTTAATAACTTTACTTCAGTGCACAGTCTCAAATTTATATCCATGTGCTGTCACAAATTTACCTGCCTGCACAAGCATAAGTTTACTTCAATGCAGTCATAAATTTGCTTCAGTGCAGTCATAAACTTGTTTCAGTGAACAGTGATAAATATGCTTAAAAACACAATAAATCATAAACATTTCTCACTTGCTAGTCCCTGTCGGCGTCGTTGCTCCTGCCTTCTTGCCTTCCAGTGTTGCCAGGTGCTGTTCTAGGGCATCTAACAAACTGGCAGGTGCCTGCAACAAAAATTATATTCTTACATAAAAATATGCATAGGGAGCTGGCTAAATAAAATCTGGCACACAATTAAATCAGCAACTAAACTTTCTAGTTTATAGCAGCCCACCTAAATCAGCAAACATTTTAAAAAGACACACACAGGTGACTGGAAGATTGAAAGCAGAACTCTGACCTACCACTATGTAAGACATTATCTCTGGTCCATCCCCCAATCCCAATGTGACATGACCTCTAAATCATTAATATGCGACATATTGATTCATAACCCACAAACAAGTTAAATGACGATCTCTAACTCACTAACATGTGACATGATAACCTCTGACCCACCAATGTGTTATAAGATTACCTCTGACCCCTAACATGTGACACGATAACCTCTAACCCACCAACATGTTAAATGATGACTTCTGACCCACCAACATGTGACATTATAACCTCTGACCCACTAACATGTGACATGATAACCTCTGACCCACCAATGTGTTTTAAGATGACCTCTGAAACACCAATGTGTTATAAGATGAACTCTGACACCCTAACATGTGACACGATAACCTCTAACCCACCAACATGTTACATGATGACTTCTGACCCACCAACATGTGACATTATAACCTCTGACCCACTAACATGTGAAATGATGACCTGTGGTCCACCAGGAGGTGACATGCTGGCCTCTAGCCCATCAACATGCGATGATCTAACAATATAATTTCAGAGATGGTTGAATGTCAAGTCATACAAAAACAACCCATTCTGGTGCAGTTGGCCACATTGATGAGGATAAATGGTAGGTAAGCAGTGAGGATGTCAGTACTGTCTGTCAGCTGCCCTGGCTCCCAAAACTAATCAGAAGCTAGGCCTGTGTTGATCAGCCGAGCATAATTGAGATCTGAACCCAGAATCTCTAATGCTGGATGGCATGATCATCATTCTACAGTGATTTTACTGTTAAGCGCAAGGTTATCATCATCATCACAATGTGCTGTGAATGATAAGATAAGGTAGAAATGTTTTGCCATCCCCCATGATCAGCAGAATTCTGGATCAAGTGAGGGTTCTTGTATCATTCCATCCATATGACCCAACCATCCAGGTCATTTATCTCTTTACCTTTCCCTTGCTCTCTTTCCATCAGTCTTGCCAGCTGTAGCCAAGTTCTCGAGTCATTATTTCTCACAAATATGTCCACACATTTTTTTTTTAAAAACACCACATTATCCCTGACATTAAAAACAATAGTTTACAGCAGTTAAACAGGGGATTTAAACCCACATCTATTAGCTAGAGCATATTTAGCTGAGTTTCAAGGATAAATCTTGTTGGTTAGTAAATAACATAAGCAGGCTGATAAGGATGAGTCTCAAGCATAGATGAAGGTTAGTGGCTGGGTGAAGGTTGGTGAGTCTGTTACAGATAGTCAAATTAGCAAATGGCCAAATACAGAACCCCACCACAAAAATGTACGCACACCTTATAATGTCATCAAAGTTGTATCAAGTTACCCCTGCCATCCCCAGGAAATCTGGTCACTTCCAGCTGGCATTCCTTAGGGATCATGTCCCAAATATGATCGGAAAGTAAAAGGGTTAAAGTGGTAATGTGAAATATTATGTTCTTTCAGCGGATTTCCTTATATCAATATTAAAACCCACAGACGACTGACAGCTAGTTTCCCATGATAATAAGTCTCTGCAAGCTAATGGTAACCAAACTGAGCATCTCATGTAAATTCAGAAAGTAACTTGTGTGCTTACCTATATTTATATTTATTACAAAATTATTTCTTTTCTTTTTTTACGAAGCGTGCATACATTTTTCTGGTGGACCCTCTCTGGTGTGAGTTATGGCAGAAAGATGCCAGCGTAAGAGAAAGCATATGTTGAAAGTAAATCAAGCAAAGGCAATCAATCACATCAATCAATGTGCAGATGGTTCGTGTGCGGATTAGATTCTGTCTTGAAAACATCAGATCAGGATGCTAGTGAATGTTCTGGCACCTTCTCAAAATAGTTACTTATAATGGAAACATCTTGCTGTCGATCCCAGAAATATTTCCTCATCAAATTTTGAAATATTTCCACGAAACATATCTTCCTGTCAATCCCAGAAATATCTTCTTCTCAGTTCCAGAAATATCTTACCTGTCAAATCCCACAAATATCACCCTGTCATTTTCAGAAATGTCTCTGATCAATCACATAAATATTTCCTGTCATTTCCAGAAATGTCGCCATATTAATTCCATAAATATTTCCCTGTCATTTCCAGAAATGTCGCCATGTCAATTCCATAAATATTTTCCTGTCATTTCCAGAAATGTCGCCATGTCAATTCCATAAATATTTTCCTGTCATTTCCAGAAATGTCGCCATATCAATTCCATAAATATTTTCCTGTCATTTCCAGAAATGTCGCCATGTCAATTCCATAAATATTTTCCTGTCATTTCCAGAAATGTCGCCATGTCAATTCCATAAATATTTCCCTGTCATTTCCAGAAATGTCGCCATGTCAATTCCATAAATATCTTCTTCTCAGTTCCAGAAATATCTTACCTGTCAAATCCCACAAATATCACCCTGTCATTTCCAGAAATGTCGCCATGTCAATTCCATAAATATTTCCCTGTCATTTCCAGAAATGTCGCCATGTCAATTCCATAAATATTTCCCTGTCATTTCCAGAAATGTCGCCATGTCAATTCCATAAATATTTCCCTGTCATTTCCAGAAATGTCGCCATATCAATTCCATAAATATTTCCTGTCATTTCCAGAAATGTCGCCATGTCAATTCCATAAATATTTTCCTGTCATTTCTAGAAATGTCTCCATAAATACCAAAAAATATTTCCCTCACAATCTCATAACAAAGAAACACTCCAGTCCCAAGGTATTTCTCTTCCTGCCTAGGTGATTTGTTAAACTGCAAGTTTACACAATCTCCTCACAATTTGTTTGCAATCTGGAACTGTTGCTTTTTGAAAGTTCAGATGAACTGTTAGCGTTCAGAAAGAGACCTACCCCCATAAACACATCAAAGACTACTTCTGCGTTTACCCTTAAAAGGATGGTTGTCATATTCTGTTTTTGTTTACAGCTAGGGTGTGATATATGTGCCTTTCCGACTAACAAATCTGATTTCAGCAAATCTTTAATAAGTCACCTTCTGCATTCTTGTGGGTCTATCCCCCCTCTCCAACCCACCCCACATGGGGCCCCAAAACCCACTAAGGGAATGAAGAAATCAAAGACTGAAACAAGGAACCAAGACAACTCTCTCGCTACAGAGTACATCGGTGGTAATGATCTGCGAAGCCAGAATGTGTAACAGGAAATTCCTGGAAAGTAAAGGTAGCCAACATAATGCTGACCACATAACCCACTGAGCGCCAATTGACCTTTAAAAAATATGGGACTGGAACCACATGCTTGTAGCACTCCAAGGCATACAAAAGGTCCTTGACTTCACTTCTGCACATCAGACATCGTCATCGAACAATCACTAGCTCTAACATAACTGACTGTCAAAATTCAATATTTCAATTTGCAAAAAAAAAATAAAACCAATACATTTACAATCAACTTGGCATGTTAGTGAATTAAATCCAAATTTTAAAGAAGAAAAAAATTCTGCATATACTTTAGCCATGCTTCTGTGGTCTAGCCACTAGATTCGTTGGTTTCTGGATCAAGTCAGGTAGCAGGCAAAGTCCTGGAAGGTAAAGGTCGTCGGTGTGATGCTGACCACATCACCCACGGATTGCCGATTGGTCTATAAAAATAGGTCTAGCACTATATGCCTAATGGTATGGAAAAGAGGACCTGGCAAACAGCTCTAGCATCTGTTGGGTGTATGTGGTTTTACTAGGCAATTTTTATATTCAGTGGTTTACTGGCGAGTTGTGACCACTCTTGAAATAAATGCAAGGTAGTCTGCTGCTAAAGTGCCCACAGCTGGAATCGAACCGGATATCTCAGGATTACAACACATTTTTAAAAAAAAAACTTAATCCACAGACGCTGACAAAATAACCGCTGTATAATCAAAATTGAACAGAGACAACGCTTTTAAATTTATAATGAAACTAAATCTGTTACTGAAAAAAGGTGACTCTGTAAATCAAATGAATATGTAAAGCAAAATAAAAATTTAGACAATCCTCATGTATAGCAGGACATCTTTTAACATTATGGCCTGCCTGAAAGAGACTCAGTCTCTTGCCAGCTCTCCGCCTCATGCATTTTCATATTCAGGGAGTCACACTCATATCCTGGGTCCATCTTTGTGTTGGACAGCCCCTGTCTCTCCTTCCTGGTACCATGCTATTATTTGTTCCAAATCTGCCATGGCACTTAATATGACCAAAATAGTTCAGCTTATGAGACAGGATGCTGTTAATTAGCCAATCTTCCTTGATGTTCAGATCTTATAAAATGTCAGTATTTCTTCTTTTCTTTTCTGAGAATCTTTCTATGGCTTTTCAGCTCAAAAGCTCATATTATCTTTCTAAGGACTTAGACATGTATGCTCTCAAAATTTTCACTTCAATTTCATTGCTGGTACCTAACCATAGATTTGTAATGCTGTTTACTTGTTTATAATCTGCCTGGCCTGGGAGCCTCACCATCAGATCTTTGAGTTTCATTTTTGGCTTCCATGATGAGTTTCTCTGGATAATACTGTGATAGTTTCCCCGTGATTTCCACATCCACATAGCTTTAGACTTTGGCAACCTTTAGGACTGTCAGGGCAAGTGAGTGCCCTGCTTGGTGATATTCCTGCTAACAGCAGAGGCCACCTTAGGGTTGTCCACATCCTCAGTCCCCATAGCTGTGTTAGCCACACCGCAGTGTGTTTACCATCCTCTACCCTTTCTATAGAGGGTCAGTTGGGGTTTTCCCTTTCTCAGTCTTGAGATCAGAATGACATTTCCCAAAACTCTCCATTACTTTTAGAGGATTGTTTTATCTTTTCAAATTAAACAAAATCTGTTATTGAATAAAATATAATTGTGTAAACTGAAATCACAATTAAGAGAAGCAATTATGCTAAATTTACAATATAACTTCACATAATTTGTTGCAAAGCAACTGTTACATAAAGAAACAATTCCAATTTAACACTGCATTCTGGTCCGTCTATGTATGATTTAACCAGAAAAACTCCAAGTGATCACAGAAAATACTACTTATAATGATGCAAGAGAATGTAGGAAGAGATGTAACAATGGCAGAATAGGTCATACTTCAATGAAACAAAAGCAATCAAATAAAGAGGTTCTAAAGAGAAATATAAAAAGGAATACTTTCTGCGGAGGCCGTTCTAGTCTCAATAATACAAATCGGAAAGGTCCTAGTTACTGATATTGTCTCACTAATACAAGGCTGAAAGGCCTCAGACACTTCTGTTCAATCACTGTACTCACATAGAACAGTGCAGCCCTAGTTACTGATCTTGTCTCACTAATGCAAGGCTGAAAGGTCTTAAACATTTCTAAACCATCACTGTACTCACATAGAACAGTGCAGCCCTAGTTACTGTTCTTCTCCCACTAATACAAGGCTGAAAGGCCCTACACACTGCTGTTCAATCACTGTACTCACATAGAACAGTGCAGCCCTAGTTACTGTTCTTCTCCCACTAATACAAGGCTGAAAGGCCCTACACACTGCTGTTCAATCACTGTACTCACATAGAACTGTGCAGTCCTAGTTACTGATATTGTCTCACTAATACAAGGCTGAAAGGCCTCAGACACTGCTGTTCAATCACTGTACTCACATAGGACAGTGCAGCCCTAGTTACTGTTCTTGTCTCACTAATGCAAGGCTGAAAGGTCTTAAACATTTCTGAACCATCACTGTACTCACATAGAACAGTGCAGCCCTAGTTACTGTTCTTCTCCCACTAATACAAGGCTGAAAGGCCTCAGACACTTCTGTTCAATCACTGTACTCACACAGAACTGTACAGCCCTAGTTACTGTTCTTGTCTCACTAATATAAGGCTGAAAGGCCCTACACACTGCTGTTCAATCACTGTACTCACATAGAACTGTGCAGCCCTAGTTACTGTTCTTGTCTCACTAATATAAGGCTGAAAGGCCCTACACACTGCTGTTCAATCACTGTACTCACATAGAACTGTGCAGTCCTAGTTACTGTTCTTGTCTCACTAATATAAGGCTGAAAGGCCCTACACACTGCTGTTCAATCACTGTACTTACATAGAACTGTGCAGCCCTAGTTACTGTTCTTGTCTCACTAATATAAGGCTGAAAGGCCCTACACACTGCTGTTCAATCACTGTACTCACATAGAACTGTGCAGTCCTAGTTACTGTTCTTGTCTCACTAATATAAGGCTGAAAGGCCCTACACACTGCTGTTCAATCACTGTACTCACATAGAACTGTGCAGTCCTAGTTACTGTTCTTGTCTCACTAATACAAGGCTGAAAGGCCCTATACACTGCTGTTCAATCACTGTACGCACATAGAACTGTGCAGCCCTAGTTACTGTTCTTGTCTCACTAATATAAGGCTGAAAGGCCCTACACACTGCTGTTCAATCACTGTACTCACATAGAACTGTGCAGTCCTAGTTACTGTTCTTGTCTCACTAATATAAGGCTGAAAGGCCCTACACACTGCTGTTCAATCACTGTACTCACATAGAACTGTGCAGTCCTAGTTACTGTTTTTGTCCCACTAATACAAGGCTGAAAGGCCCCAGACACTACTGTTCAATCACTGTACTTACATAGAACAGTGCAGTCCTAGTTAATGTTCTCATCCTACTAATACAAGGCTGAAAGGCCTCAGACACTACTGTTCAATCACTGTACTCACATAGAACAGTGCAGCCCTAGTTATAGAAGTCTCACTAATATACTACACTAATGGAAAGTCCGGTATTCGCAGCCCATGGTATAGTGAGTGTGACTAGTTAGACCCGCCCGCGTTAAGAAAAAAGTCTTCCACAGTTAGAGGATGGGATTTCAGGGTCCACTGTGACACTGCATGTATTTATTTATTAACATCATAAGTCTGCCCAACATGCTGCTGAAATGCCCTCAATATTGAAATTTCAGCAGGGTACACACAAAACCATACAGCCCTATTTACTGCTGGTATTGTTAACAAACTATTAGCAATTAGCAAAATCTAAAAAGTATAACTGTATAAAGTGAGGTATGTGGAGGCAAGGGAACAAAACTGTGAAACACTTACAGAGGTGGAATTGTTTTTTAACCCCTGCACAAAATTGTAAAAATAAAACAAAATACAAACATCAGGTCACAGGTCAGCACTCGGTTATTTAGTAAATGAAACAACAACAGACAGGGACAGGCTGTGACAAACAATGATAAATAAATAGAGACAGGGAGCACCTGTCAGTGCTAAACACATAAATAAATAAGACATTAATCTGTCAAAAATTGACATTCAGTAAATTCAGCAATGTACAAGAAGCCTAAACATGTCAAATGGCTGCATGATACCTGGACCCTTAAGAGAAGCAAGCAATAGTACCACACTGCACCCTACCAGGCCTGTCTTAAGAGGTGACTAAGGGGCTAGCCCAAACTACACAAAAGTTACGGCTATGAAAACCAACCGACGATGAGCATGTCTAAAAAAAAAAATGTTCTGTGTGATTTGGCTGAATGCTCCATTCGGGGATAAGGGGCAGCAAAGGGAAAAAAGACACATCAAGTGTCAGGACAATATACACTGGTAAAATATAAAGAGAGACAAGTGTGCATGCCCAAGATAAAAGCAGACATTAAGCTCCTGAGAAAGTTCACACACAAAAACATAGTCTGCATGCTCTCTTTTACTGGTACCACAGAGATGAAACATGGTCATTTTGACAATGATTTTGATGATAGTGGTTGCTGCAGTTGTTAATGCCTCAACATTTCAGGTTACATACATGCAGTATTTATATATGTATTTTAGGCTGGCAGAGAGGAGATAGAGAGGAGGGCTGAGGTAGGAGAGATAGAAAGGGTGACAGTATGTGATGGAGACAGCAGAAAGTGAACATGTGTGTGAGAGAGACATGTGTGTGGGACATGATACAATACTGAGTTAGTGCCTGAGCATTTTAGTATGCATGTGGGTCTTTTTGTGTTTGTGTGTGTGTGTGTGTGTGCATGAGCCCGTGCATGTCTCTGCGTGTATGCTTATTTTTATGCCTAGAGAAGGCATGGGTGATCATGCCTCCATAACCCTCTTTATTATAGAACAAAATAGTTATTTTTTTTTTTTAACTTTAAAGGATCCTTTTCGGCACCCTTAGGCACATTGGGGATATAGTGTTAAGACGTGTATATCCCAGACCAACTGATACTTTGTGGGTGATGCAGTTGGAATCCCTCTTGCCATCTTTCCTTCCCAAAACTTTACTTGGTACTTTTTTAAGCTGGGCGACCTGGAAGCCAAGATCATTGCTGACCCCCAAAAAAACTAACTCGATGAGGAACCTGCGAACTCTAGGTGAGAATCAAGCTCCTTCTCTACTAAATGCTGTTCTGGTAAATTTCAAGTTGCCTATATCATTTTTTTTTTTTTTGGCTGAGATTTCAATTTGTCAACACACACCTGCTTTTGTATTCCACTGTCTTATGTTTGTGTACCTTCTTCCTGTGTACTCACATTTTTGTGTGTTCCTGTGTCTGTAATCGTGCCTCTGTATGTGTGCCTTCATGTATGCATCCCTTTCTTTTCTATAAGTGTGTGTCTGTGTGTAGACAACACAAGCTGACTTCTTCTTCTGCCTTCTTACACCCCCCCCCCCCCCTCAAATCCTCAACCAACTTAAGCCAAATCATTCTATCCTTCGCTATTGCATGCAGCTCTCCCCATTTCTCCCAATCTTTGTAACTTCACTCTCTAGCTCCCGTCTCTGTGTTTTTTGGATTAAATTTATTTCTACGCCCCTGTGGGTTCCAGTGCAAATCCATTCTAGTTAAACTTTTCAGGTCTTCTTAAAGTGTTTCCCATCCAACGCCAGTGTCCTTTTCCACCTCTTGGTCCACTGGAAGTTGTTTAACTCTCTACCAAAGCTCAGCATTAGTAATTCTATGATACTATTTGATTCCCTCTATTCTGCACAGGAACCAGTTAATGAACACAAGCTACTGTATATGGAGAAACCATTCAACACACAAAAGTCAGCAGAAAATAACAAACAACTCGCTATACCCTGTGTACACAAGCCACTCAATAAACAATGTACAGACACAAAAACCACTGAACATATTATGTTTATACACAACAAGCACCCAAATGAACACACAGCTGGTTATAAAATCTGTCTATATCCCACAGTTTAGGTTTTAAGTGGGTGAAACACCTGGCTAAAGATAACACGTTTTTAAGTGTTTATCTGGTTGAATAGTGATGAGCGGCAATTTGGGTGGTTTAAATCCAGCTCTGCCAATGATTCTTAAAGTGTATCTAGTTTAAAGCTCTCTTTTTTCTACTTATATATATCCAAAACTTCTGTAATAGCCAATGAAATCCTCTGCATTAATTTCTGAGAGTATTTCTCTGGTATCAAAGCAAACCAGAAATGGATATTTGCAACCTAGAAACGGATATTTATTAAAAAAAGACAACACCAACTATGTGCAAAAGATAGTGGCACATGAAGATGATGGTACTCACCTTGGCTAAGTCTGGAATATCACCTTTATCTATGCCCATACTCTGAAATAATCAAACATGGACTCTTGTTGATTATTTCATACTGTAACTGACCAATCAAACATGGACTCTTGTTGCTTTCACAGTGTAACTGGTCAATCAAACATGGGCTCTTGTTACTTTCACAGTGTAACTGATCAATCAAATATGGGCTCTTGTTACATTCACAGTGTAACGGATCAATCAAATATGGACTCTTGTTGTTACTTTCAGTGTAACTGGTCAATCAAACAAGCACTCTTGTTGATTATTTCATACTGTAACTGATCAATCAAACATGGACTCTTGTTGTTGCTTTCACAGTGTAACTGGTCAATCAAAGATGGACTCTTGTTGATTATTTCATACTGTAATACTGTAACTGATCAATCAAACATGGACTCGTTGCTTTCACAGTGTAACTAATCAATCAAACATGGACTCTTGTTGATTATTTCATACTGTAACTGATCAATTAAACATGTTCTTGTTACTTTCATAGTGTAACTGATCAATCAAACATGCACTCTTGTTACTTTCATAGTGTAACTGATCAATCAAACATGCACTCTTGTTCATAGACTCTTCTTTTTTATTTGTCCACTAGGCGCTTTGTACCACCAGGCATTGCAGTTCAATAGAAGATAGGTAGGTGAGCTAGGTCATGTGCTGGTAGCATAGTATTATGACGTGAAGTCTTATCGTTTCAGTGGCTCTTTCCATCCATGTTCTCTTGGGTCTCTACTTTCCTGTTGGTGTTTCCCTTTTCATGTTGTAAGCTGTCGCTGCTGGCATCATTGGATTCATAATCACCATTTGGTCAAACCATTTTAGACTTTGTTTCTCAATTAATTTAACGATGGGTTCTGTTTCAATGTGGTGTCCAGATGCGAGTTTGACTCGTAATCCCAACGTACCGCGATCGAAACCCACTGCTGGCTGCGTAGATTTTTATCATGGTATGGGGCGTCATAGGTCAACCCAGTCTAAAATGGGCACCAGGATGGCTGTCCTGGGGAAGTAAAGACGACTGGCGTAATGCTGACCACACTACCAACCCAGTGTCAGTGGTCTGAAAAAATACTGGCGCTCTTCCCATATACCCGACGTGCCTAAAGGCGTGAAAAGTGATCTTGACATTTTTTTAAAAACTCTTTCAATAGTTTTTTTTTTCTAATCTCTTCATTTCCTCAACAATCTTTTCTGGTTTTGTTTGCAGCCTTTCTGAATCACCTCATTTAAATGGTGGCTAGTTTTGTCTCATGTTCTTTGGTTATGTCCTAGTCTGACACTGATAATCTAAAGATGGAAATCAATATTGTATTTATAATGTTTTTTTTTTTCTTGGTTGGAATAGCCTGGTTTTGCAAGCTTAGGGTCAGTTGGTATATAATGGTGCTAGCATTTGGATTATTGTTTCTATCTCTCTGCCAAGTCTAACACTGTATGTAAAGATGGTCCCCAAGTATTTAAATTCTTGTACTTGTTTCAAACTTTAGTCTTTTATCTTTATGTCAGCTCTTTCTTCTCTGCTAACTCATGATTTCTGTGGGGTTTTTTTTAGTGTTGATTTTTGTGTGATGTCTTAGGCAGCTGTCATGTAGCTTGTCTATGTGGTGCGGTAGTTGTTTACTTTCATTGTTGAACAGGCATCGGTCATCAACAAACAGCAGCACATTAAGTCCTGTTCAGAGACACCTACTATTTGACCTTATTTTACTGAAATACTCATTGAATTGAACAAGCACACTTGGGACTCTCGTTACTGTCATACTATAACTGATCAATCAGGCAGAGGTTCTTGTCATTTTTATACTGCCAAATGACAACCAAACAAAGATACTTTCATACTGTAACTGGTGCAGGGGAATTTTTCTTTAGCCACATTTACCTAATAAAGTGGGGTCCGCGTAGCAACAATCAGGTGCACACATACCAACGCTCATGAACATGCTGATACTTACCTCAGCAACTTTCAAGAACTCAGAAACTTTGTCCATGCGCACCAAAAACTTTTTGTAGAGGTCCAGCGCATCTTTGCACTGTTTTTTATTCATATCAAAATATTTTTCTGTGGACACAGACAGTGAAAATGGAGATAACTAATATTCTTTGTCAGTATGAGCAAATCTGAGATTGTTCTCAGTAAAAAATCTTCCTGTGTCAGTCTCAGCAAATCTGAGTCACATCTAAAGATCTTCTTGTGTTGGTGTCAGTAAATCTGAGTTTGTCTATTCTCATCTATAATTCTTCCTGTTTCAGTGTAGGTCTAAGTTTGTTTATCCTGAGCTAAAGATCTTCTTACTTCAGTGTGGGTCCATCTTAGTTTGTCTTGTCTATTCCCATTATAATATCTTCCTGTTTCAGTGTGGGATTACCTGGATTTGTCCATCCTCATCTAAAAAGCTTCCTGTTTCAGTGTGGGTCTGTGTTTGACTTGTCTTTTATCTAAATCTCTTCCTGTTGCAATGTGAGTCCGTCTATTCTAATTTAAAATTCTTCATGTGTCAGTGCGGGTCTATACAAGCTTTAATGATGAATAGCATTGCAGCAATTACGGTGCTGGTGATTATATTGCTGATGGTGCTGATAATGATAATGACGGCAGCGGTGATGATGATGATGATACTAATAATCATGGTGATGGCATGATGATAATGACCTTGATAATGATGATGATATTGATAACTATGGGCATGACATGAAAATGGCGATGGCAGTGATTGTGGTAGTGGTGAGGATGATGATAAGTAAAAGAAAGCAGCTCACCCAACAAATTGATGACCCCATCATTGTAACAAGCAAACAACCTGATAAGATCTTTAAACAGAAGCATGAAGCAGGCTGTGATCACCCCATTGGTCAGCTCATTGGGAGCACACTGCAACATTCAAACACAGGCATCAGTCTCACTTATCTTGTCCTTATATCTCCATTAAGCTTTTAGAATGTGGTTTTATACCCCCCAAAAAAATGATGAAAAGACCATAGACTCAAAAGGAGAAGGAAATAAATATGTCTTGAACAGACCACTTCACGAAAAGAACTGATTACCTGCATCATAAGTTCCCACTCTTTAGTCGCATCATGAGAATGGGAAAACTGGAGTACAACACAATAACCATACAGTTGGAGAGGTAAAGGCAGAGTGATACCAATAGATCCTCTTACCTAAAATAGAGGTGTTATTTCTTATCTCTGATTTGTCTCTCTCTCTAAAGCTTAGACAACTAGTAGGTAAATAGTCCTCAAGTCTGGAGTATGAGCAGGGTTTTTTCCCTTTTGCAGTTCGCAGCGGATGCAATACCGCCCCCATTTTTTTAAAGGCATTGTTTTTCAGCGCTTATGTAAGACACTTTGGAGTAAGTACGAGCACCGTTGTAAGACACTTTAAGGTGACTATCCACTATTTGCTTTTTTTTTTTAAACTTGTATCAACATCATAGTGATATAATGAGTTGTTAAGTTTTTACATAATGCACATTTGACAGCTGACAAATCTGACTTCTTTTGGACATCTGTTATCCTGGTTGGTTTGTGGAACATTTGTAGCCTCATGTGTGGTGACCTCCTCATCCCCTGACCAGTTTTGCTCCTAGAGGCCCCACCAAGTGCAGCTTAGACGACTCTAAAGGGAAGGCAAGAGCAAAGCCTCGGGTTTCCTTGCTATTTAAGGAGGCTTCCATAAATGCAGTCGATAGTGGCACTCAGGTACTGGATCACATCTGTTTATCCTCACATCTGAATACTGACCCTTCCACTCATTATGGGCTGCACTCTTTAGGGATCTCCAGGACACTGTCTGCAGACCTTAGACACCAATTCCTTGCACAAAGGGGCATCTCACTTTGGCAATGGCTATTTTCATGTGGATGCCCCAGGTACTTTTTGTGACATTAAAGGGAATCATGCATTGGGCGTGGTTTTCCTTTATTGTCATCATATTCTGAGGAGCATGGCCATTAAAAGTAGACATTTGAACCTTTTGTGTCATCAAGTAGGTTCTTTGAGCTAGGGTCATCGGAACCTTTGATTTCATAGAAGTAAGACATCCCAAGGATAGACATCAGAACCTTTGCTTTCACAGGAGTGGGACACTCCATGGATGGACATCTGAACGTAAGCAGTCATATAGCAGGAGTCTCAGTAAACAAACATTTGAGCAAAGATTCATATAGCAGGACTTTTGAATAAGAGATATTTGAACCTGATTTTGACATTTAGTAGGGTACTCGGCCAGTGGACCACTCGTGTTACAAAAGAGTTTTCCATATTCACTTAAGCACAGGCTGTAGAGCGCCAGGTGATTTCTGGGTAATGCATCTTTGGGGCCACCAACTCTGTGAGATCCCCTGTCAGCTCAGTTTAGACTAATGTAGACCATTATCTGTAGCACAGGGGGGAGATGTGTGGTGGGTGTCTTGACTAAAATCACAGCGCCACAAACCATAAATATGAGAATATTATTATTATATAACCACTATATCAGCACATTTCCAATCACTAAGTAAAAACATCTTCTACTTTTCCTGTCAGAGGTTTTCAGATGAGAAGCGCACAGGCCTCCATGAAGGCTGTGAATAGTCCCCCTCCCCCCCTCCAACTGTTCCACCCCGCTCGGTTTCCACCAAAATGCCAACTAGCCAGACCTGGGATATCCCTACTGGAAAAGAAATGAGTCAAGTAATGGCCAGACTTACATCAAACTCCAATAATGCATCTAGCTGCTGCTGTAAGACTGGCAGTGTCTTTAAAAGCTGTCAGGAGAAAATAAAGGAGGGTATTAAATACAAGAGAGGATACTGTGACTACATCATAGCATGAAATGGGTGGAGCTATGATAAAGCTATACAAAAAACATGAAACTCAAACCATTCACAAATGTATACTTCTTCTTCATGTTCACATGATGTAAACTCCAGTGAAAAGTTCTGGCTGCTTGTCCACTTCTGAACTTTGGTCCTGTTCCAGACCTTGAGTTTTGCCTCCACATCAACTTTACAAATCTAGCTTATTTGTATGCAGATTGTTGGTTCCTCGCCTCTCAGGCATATGCACTGAAGGAAACACCCCTAATTAGTCGCTTTAGAGAAAGTCAACTGACAATACCACATATACTGTTAGGAAACAGACAATACCCCATATACTTCTAGGAAACAGACAATACCACATATACTGCTAGGAAACAGTAAACAGACAATAAGAATGTATTTACTGCTAGGAAAGAGACAGAAAACAGACAATAACACTATATTTTTTTCTAGGATTTATTTGATTTGATTTGATTCAAGAACCGACATCACAGCACTCAGGGCATTCCCATAAGCGCTTCATCCCCATCTTCAGCAGCCAGCGAAGAGTTCCAATACTAATGGTGCCAGTAGCATTCTGATTAAACGTCCGTCTTGCCTTTCCTCTGAGCCTCTCGTCACTCCCAACTGCATTAATCTCACCACACTGTTGTGATTAATCCGCTCCCTCGAACTGTACAAGCTCTCCCACAAGGCACTAACCACATCTGCCTTATCATGCATCAGTATTCCACCAAGCTGTGCACAGCCGGCCAGTCTGTCCGCCTGTTTATTTCCCAACACACCGGCATACCCTGGTGAAAAAATCCAGACAATACTCCTCACCCGTGTCTTCCGCAGCGAGGCATGCCACTCTGCACGAAGATTGCCTGTCCTGGTCTTCCTCAGCATGCTTTCCGAGTCAGTTACAATCACAATGTGTGTGTTTGTGTGTAGTGTTCTCTAGCCAACGGAAAGCCCAAGTGACCGCCTCCACCTCCATTCTTAAGCTGGATGTTGTGGTATCATATGCTAGGCTCTCCTGCACCAAACATCGACCATTAACTTTTTCTAAGAAACCCCAAGCACTTCTTTTGCCTCTTGACACTGAACCGTCTGTGTAAATGATCTAATCTTCTGAACGAGCATTATCTTAAATTAACTGCTGAATTTCCACCTCTGTGGCACCTGCTGGCCAGTCTCTGCATTCCCGGCTCAGTCTGATTATGACCCTACACAGGTCTGACTGTTCAGGTGGCACTTTGACCCACTCCTCTCCTAATGTTCTCAAGGAGGCAAACCTGTCTAGATTGTGTCTTCTGCCTGAGCCATCCATAACTTCCCTCTTATCAGCCGCTGACCCTTAACTGCACCCAGAGCTTCGTGCAAAGGGTGGTCTGTGTCTGCAGCTACCCTAAGATATGACTTCACCTGCAGCACCTTGTGCCTATCTTTGTTTTGTTGTTGCTAGGATAGATAGAACAAACCAGACTGCTGAGCTAACAAGATGGAGGGGGGGGGAGGATATGGAGACTTGGTGTGAGCTCATTAAAGGCCTTAGCTCCATCGGGGAATAAGAGGCAGAAGAAAAAGAAGACTAATAACATTATACACTTATAACTAGGAAAAAGACAGACAATAACATTTTACTTATTCAAGGGAAAGAGACAGACAACAGACATTAACACTATATTTATTGCTATGAAATAATTGACAATAATGATATATCCACTGCTAGGAATGAGACAAGACAACAGATAATAACACTACATATTGCTAGGAAAGAGACTGACAACGAATAATAACACTATATATTGATAGGAAAGAGACAGACAACGAACAATAACACTACATATTGCTAGGAAAGAGACGGACAACGAACAATAACACTATATATTGATAGGAAAGAGACAGATAATGAACAATAACACTATATTTATTGCTAGGAAATGACAACTGAGACTAACAATATATAGTGCTAGAAAAGAGACAAACAATAACAATATATATATTTCTAGAAAAGACACAGACTACAACACTGTATTTAGTGCTAGGAAAGACAGACTCACTTTTTCTGTGTTCATGGTTCGTAACAAGCCATCATCTTTTCTGTAGGGGAAATAAAGAAAGAGACATCAGCAAGATTAGAATATCAACTGAAAACTAGGTAACATTTCTCATATATGTGTACTGCTGACTAACATAAGGTGTTTGTATCAGGCTGTCCAAAGACATGTGAATCATAAATGAGACAAGATGTGTATCGTATCATTACAGGATCAAGACTATCATGACTCAAAATGTGTATCCAGACTAATATAAGATATATGTATCATGGCTGTTACAAAATGTGTATCATTTATGACTATTAGAAGATGTCTGTATCGTGACTGTTACAAGATGTATAACATTCATGACCATTACGAGAAGTGTATTGTGATTGTTACAAGATCTGGTCTGGTAGTCTTAGTTTCAGCTTCATAGCAAATGGGTCACCCCATCTTTGCTCTGCTCCTGTGCCAACGAAAAACACACAGAATGTTTATCACAGTCCCTTGTGGAAAGATTGACAGACTGCTGTTTCAGCAAATCTAGCATACACAAGGATTAAAGCATACGGTAGCAATCCAAAGTGCTAACACAAACAGTCCGACATTAGAAATGCAGTTCATCACCAGAAGTCACCAACAAATCAGCAATTGCCAGAGCGATCAATTTTAATCACATACGGGCACCACCAACAATGTGACAACAGGCATCACGCCATTTTCTGAATTTACAATTCACACAACCATGTTGGTCACAATCGAAAAAACGTTCCAAATGAAATCTGCAGCTCACAGTGTCACACCAAGCATTCAACTCAGAAGCTGGGCGATAAAACTATATCCAGTCTGAAAATGGAGCAAAAATGCAAAAATATTACAAGATATCTGCACCAGGACTGTTACAAGATCTGTATCCTGACCACTTTAATATGTGTATGATGACTTTTACAAGATGTCTATATCATGACTGTTACAAGATGCCTGTATCATGACTGTTACAAAATGTCTGTATCAAGGTTGTTACAAGATGTAATTCATGACTGTTACAAGTTTCTGCATTATGACTGATACAAGGTGTCTTTATCATGACTGCTACACAATATGTCTGTATTATCTATGGTACAAGATGGCTGTATAATCTCTGAAAATAACTGTCATACTGTGACAAACACAGACTCGATTACATAATGATGGACACAGTTTTTTAATCAAGAAGCTGGCGTGGACGATCATGCCTCTCCACAATCTGCAATCTTCAACAGGTGCTGACATCCCTTCATGTTATGACAAAAGGCTGTCAAGAATATCACTGTGTTGTGTTCCTCTAGTTTTGCACAGATCTTTCCAGTGGGTGCAACATGTTCCAGTTTCTTTCTTCACATATTGTGGCCGGGGGAAAAAATGGTGTCTATTTTGATATTTACGATAAAATGTCTTCGAGCCCTTGCCTCTTTCAAAACATATGGATTGCTCTTTATGAAGTCCAAGGAATTTTAAAGATTCTTCTGTAAAACCACATCTCTGAGGCCACAAGAAGCTGACAAGCTCAGTATATGATGACGAAGTGAATGACGACAATGCAGTAAATGATAACAAACACAATATAATTACCCTCGTTTCACCTTGCAGAAGTCAAAGGCCATAACTCTGTATGAAATGGCTTTCTCGTTGAGGTATTTGGCGTACCGACGTATAAATGTAGACATATCATAGCCTGTATAGAAATCACAGGTAATTACACAGTAATGACTTGTCATTTTTATAGATCTTCTTAGCATTTATTAGAACTTGAGTTTTGCATGCACATCTTTTTACAGATCTGGCTTATTTATGTGCAAATTATTTGTTCCTTGTCTCTCAGGCAGATGCTCTCTGACTGAAGAAAACGCCCCTAACTATACCCCTCCTAGGAAGGCAGTGGGTCTATTTTTTATTCCTTTGAAATGGGGCCTCAGAACCCATAGGAAGAATACACAGAGCATAAAGGTTAAAGCTTTGTAAAAAAAAAAAGTTGTCCCAGTGTAGGTTCCAGAGCTTCCTATGAAGCCAGAGTGCATCTGCCTGAGAGGTGAGGAACCAACAGTCTGCATACAAATAAGTTAGATCAATAAAACAGATGTGCACACAAAATCCAAGTTTTGGAACACGACTAATGTCCAGAGGTGGACGAACACCCTGAACTTTCTACCAAAAGTTACAGCCAGTGCACGCGAAGAAGAAGAAGAAGCAGAGGAAGAAATGGTTTATAATCGAAAGGACCAACTTCACTGGGATTTATCCTATATGGCTCTGTCGCTGCGAGAGTATCTCAAATAGCTTGAATTCCATAGCTCCAGCAACAAGTCTAAGAATCTCAGTAAAAACTGCACATGTGAACCAAACAATGCTGTCTATGAAACAAACACACAAACTTCAGAACATATTGGAAGCAGCTTGAACATTCAGACCAGAGACTGCTAAAGAGTATTTGGATGCCATTCTCAGTTTAAAATAGGTAATTTTAAAAAAAGATGAGGTGAAGAATAATAGACCAACACAGAGCTGACGTTGTCAACACTACATACTGAGGGATATACTGAAGAGAGGATTTGAACATTTATGGACTAAATGTTTTAATGCTCCGTGTGGATGATCAATCGACTAACTTACTTACAATTCATAAAACAAGAGTCTTTGTTTTTCTTCTTCTTACAGTCCACACTGTGTGGCATTGGTAGTCATGTCTATCCATAACTTCTGTCTCGTGTACTTTCAAAACATTCTGACATGTTATGATGTCACATTGTCCAGCATCTTCTCTCAGTTTCCCTTCAATCTATTTCCCATCCAACTTTCCTGCAGAGACGTACTTCAGCTTTCTCCTTCTCATAACATGACTAAAAAACGTAGATTATGATTTCAGCGATCAGTTCATAGGTCAATTTTTTTCTCAAGATGCCTTCACTGCTTTTTTTCTTCAAATTGTTCCTGCATGTTTTCATCCTTAGTCTTTAAAACACATTTCCGCATTTCCCTATAATTTGTCACCAATCAGAAAAATTATGCATGACACACTTCCGTATATCCAGACAGGATTCATTTAACTCTTGAGAATTTTCTTTCTCACCTAAAGTGACAAAGAAAGATTGCATAGAATATTCTTGTGTTTATGATTTAAAGCATGAAACTCCAGACCATATTTAAGTTATTGGACAAGGTCATCACTCAGTCATCAGAGCTGACTAACCTTGAACTCCCCCCTTGTCAATGAAACCACTGAGACTGAATGAGCAGTTGTTGGACGCCAGATACTGTGTAAATCTCTGCAAAAGGCCAAACAGGCACAATTAGAAAATGGAAAAATTGGCAAGACAGGAAGAGAAAGATGAAAAGAAAAGGACACAATTTTTTTTTTCTTCTTCTTCGTGTACGCCGCTTGTTAACTCCAGTGGAATGTTCTGTTTGTTCATCTACTTCTGGATTTTGGCCTTGTTCCAGAACTTAAGGATTGCATGCACATCCATTTTACAGATCTGGCTTGCATGTATGCAGATTGTTGGTTGCTCACCTCTCAGACAGGTGAAAAAGAGAATTTTCAAGAGCTATATAAATCCTATCCTAATATACAAAAGTTAATCATGGACGGTTGACATATTAATGAAAAGTTATGAGAACACCTGGATAGATATAAAGAGTAATGAAGGTATCTTGATAGAAACTGAATTATAAAGGGAAGTGATTGCCCAAATGAGGAGACAATCTACATTCTTTGGTCATATCACAGAAAACGCGTACAATGTAATGTTGGGAAAAGTGAAGGTTAAAAGAGGAAGACCAAGAGAGAAGATTCTAGATAGTATGACATCATGGCAATGAAGATCATCTGTGTTGTAAAAACTGACAAAGTATACAAGACAGAAGGTTATGGATAGACAGGACGACCAATGCCACACAGAATGGACTCTCTCTCTCTCTAAGTTTGACAGTATTTGGTGGGCTTAGAGCGTGGCTCAGGAGTCAAGCTGTTTTCTCTCTCTCTCTCCCCCTCCCTGCCTGCCTGCCTCCCTCCCTGTGTGTGTGTGTGCATGCGCATATGTGTATATTTTTTTTATATCCAGAAACCATGATTTGTGAACTCTTTGGCTCCGTACTATGGATGTCGCAAACCCTTTGGCCTTGATTTCACGACAGATATCGTAAATCTGGGAGAAATGTGGCTTTTCTGCCTACCCCAGGACATGAACCCTGAACACAAGGAGTTTGTCACCGGTCACCGCGCAGTCAGGTTCAATCAACTGAGCTAGTGAATCGGGTATATACATATTTATATATAAAGTTAGTTGGGTATCCTTTACAGGACGTTGCAGAATCAACATCAGCATTTGTTGGCTGTTCTGGTTCTTGGCAAATTTCGTGTCCAATAGTCTGCCAGAGCTTTCTGGGCGGTCGTCTCTCTGTACCACTGTCGAAACCAATGCAAGGCATACAGCTGGTATTGAACCTGGCACCCCAGCATTCCGAAGCGGGTTCGCAATGCCTAAGCCACAGATATATATATACACACACACACACAAATAGAAAAGTAGTGAAAAAAAAACAGAAAAAATATAAATTACCAGAGGCACAAATTTCAGTAACACATAATGAGACGATGCTGACCAAAAAAAAAAAAAGCAAGCTAAAGAAAAGAATATGTAAAAAAAAAAAATGACCCAACAAAATTTAAAAAATTTAAAAAGAAAAATTTAAACAAAGAGAAAGCAGAAAACTAATGATAATAATAGGAGCCAATTAGCAAAAACTGAAGACAAGAAACAAAAACAAATAATTAAAACATGAAACAAAGTACCAAACCAACAAACAAACAAAAAAAAAGACAAACAACAAATGACAGAAAAGTGTTGGAAAAGGAGCAGACCTCATTGCCGTAGTTCATGAGGTTGTGAATGGAGACTAGAGCCTTGAAAACAACCACCCAGCTGGTGTGCTGGGTTCTTTCGATTAGCAAGTCTGCCATCTGGGGGATGGACACATTTGGTTCGTTGGTGCACTGCAGCAAATCTGGAGACAACAATAACAATGTAATGGGGGTTACGTACTTCAATGGTACATTGTAGCAAATCTGTGGACAGCAATAGTAACAATGTAATGGGAAAATAGACTTCACTGGTACACTGCAGGAAATCTGGAGAAAACAGTATGGATGTAATAGGGGATGGATTTCAGTGGTACACGGCAGAAAGTCTGTGGACAACAATATTTAGGATGTAATGAGGGATGTACTTCATTACTACACTGCAGGAAATCTGGAGAAAACAGTATGGATGTAATGGGGGATGGATTTCAGTGGTACACGGCAGAAAGTCTGTGGACAACAATATTTAGGATGTAATGAGGGATGTACTTCATTACTACACTGCAGGAAATCTGGAGAAAACAGTATGGATGTAATGGGGGATGGATTTTAGTGGTACACGGCAGAAAGTCTGTGGACAACAATATTTAGGATGTAATGAGGGATGTACTTCATTACTACACTGCAGAAAATCTGAAGATAACAATAACACAATATATTAAGTGAGCCCGTCTCTCTAGCGTAGTTGGCTAAACCGGATTGCGCGGTGAGCGGGTGATGAACTCCTTGTGGTCCGGAGTGAGGGGGTAGGCAGAAAAGCCACATTTTCTCCCAGAATTACGGTATTTACATTGGAATCAAGGCCGAAAGGTTGCGATATCCATAATACCAATCCTAAGGGTTAACAACTCATGGCTTCAGGATACTAAAACAAACAATATATTAAGTGATAACACGTTTGGTTGGCACAATGCAACAAGTAGTGAGGCGGGTTCATACACAGCATGCCATAAACTGTGTGTGTTGCATTGAGGAAAGAGGGGGGGGGTACAAAGGGGACATAGATAAAGGAAAATGGTTGTGGGAAAAGTTCAGAGCCCATTCAGTGCCTGAGAAGAATCATGAGTGCCAGATAAGAATCACATTAAATAATATTAACCCCCTTCAATGTGTCTCCACTGCGAAGGGTGATGTGCCCACCATGTTGTGGTTTACAACTAAGCCAATTTATCTGCGCCTTTTGGCCCAACACGTCCAGTTTCAGCAAAACCCTAGTTAGCTGCTTTTTCTCCCACCCCCCCCCCCCCCCCCGACATGTTTGTTGGGGTGGGAGGAGGGGTGCAGTGGGCTACCTCCCTCTCCAGTGTGGAGTCAAGGCAGTGAAACCAACATGGTCTGCAAGAATTAGGTGCTGGAATCTGGAGACTCGGGCCAACTGAGCCACATCAGCCAATAATTATGTTAAGAAGGCTAAGCATCTGCCTTTAACTATGCATACAGACTCTCTTTAAATATATCTGTTTATATTATTTCAGATGTATTATTATATTTATTTCCCACTCAGCTTCAGAACATTACTATTACTATAATTATTATTATGATAGTAAATTAAAATAGAAGGGTCCCTTAAGCGCCCCCCCCCCTTTTTTTTTACCAAGAAAATATTTCGGCGGGGGGATCCGAGGCACCCCTTTTTTCCCACGTTTTCTCTGCGTCCATGGGTCGAGAACGTGGTGACCTCTAGCCTGGCCCCGTGCGGTGTGGGGGTGTCGCACGCAACCATTAATTAATCACAAGGGACAGACAGTTGGCCAGCCAACACACACAGACCACAACAACACACAATCAAGCAGGCATATCGATTCGCTAGCCCCCGCTGCCCAAGGTCAGTCAATGTTAAAGGCGACATTCTCCGACAAATGTTTAAATACATGAAACCGTTAAACCGACCCTCTCTAGTCTCAAGTATAGCCAAGACAGACGAAGGAGGGGTGGACCCGTGGTAATGCTGTCTGGCACAGGTAATCTCCACGTCGCCTGCTGGACGGCTAGCTAGTTGTGAATTCACGTTCCAAGCGAGGTGGGTTTTCAAAACTGACCTTGCCTCCCGAGTCAACTTATGTTATGTCATCACAACCTACTTCACTGCATAGTGGGCATTCACATGCGTGCTCAGTCCTCATACACAGCAGCCGGTACTTTTCTTTTAGTTCCTCCAATCTCTGGTGCTCCGATATTTCGTGGGGAGTTCCCGAAAAGGTCTAATACGGGGTTGGGGGGGGGGGGGGGGGGGTTAGAGTGAGTGTTAGTCGAGGTCCTTGTCTTTGATCATTTTCTTTTATTGCACCCTATCTGGGGGACTCCGATATTCCGTAGGGAATTCCCGGAAAAGTATAGGGGTGTTAGGTTATGAAAAGAACACTGATAACCCTAAATCCCCCCCCCCCCCCTTTTCCCCATTAATATTAGACTTTCTCTGGAATTTTCTTCGAAATCACGGAGATGGAGTGAAATAACAAAAAAAAAATAAAAGATTTCGTGGGGAGTTCCTAGGAAAATCCAATTGTATAGGGGTGTTCAGTGTGGAAAAAACCCCGACTTACGTTTACCCCCCCCCCCCCCCCCCCCCCCCCCCCCCCCCCCCCCCCCCCCCCCCCCCCCCCCCCCCCCCCCCCCCCCCCCCCCCCCCCCCACCCCCCCCCCCCCTATTACTGGGCCTTCCAGGAAAATCCTCGCGAAATGTCGGAGTCCCTGAGATGGAGCAAACAAAGTGAAAAGTACCCAGCAGCCTTCCCAAGGCGGTGGTCTAAACTGTTTCCATGAGAAGTTGGGTTATAATGTCTCCTATCTTGATCTCGAAGACGACACCGATGTGCTTCACCGGCCTTCACCCCGAGTTCGTGCAAACGTGTGAACGTCAGACATTCGTTGCTATTTGCCTGTCTGGCGCTGATTATATCCGCTCTGCTCAAGCACCTTTCCGGATGCAGTTGTGCAATACTTGCCAGCCGGTCCACTCGTTCATTAGCTTTTACTTCGACATACCCAGGCCCAGCTGTGGATCCAGGTTTTGGAGGTTAAGTGCGACTTCCGAGTGTTGTCTACCCATTCAGAGCGCTGGCTGCCGGTTGCCATTTCCTGAAGCATGTTCACTGAATAAGGACTAGCCTCAAAATAGTAGCTAGCATAAAAATACTGTGGGAAGTAATGGCATTATGACATTTTATCTAAGTTCTTTTAATTTCTCCAGGGCATGTTGCATCAGAGGAAGCAGCAGTAGCGTAGTGGGTAAACGCTGGTCAGTCTGCCTGCAGGTTTTGTTCGAATCCGCAGAGGGCGGATGATGAGGGGGGGGGGGGGGAACTGGCCTTGGCTACCAGGTCGACACGACCTTCAATAGGTACCAGATAACGTTCTGGGACGTAAATGCGGCCGGCGTGGTGATGACACCATTACCCACCGAGTGCCGACTGGTCTACACAAACAGTCTAGCATCATATGTCCGAAATACCACTGGTAGTCTTTACTTTGCTGGCTTTTACTACCTTGTGTCATCGACAACGTTATCCCTCACAAAATTCCTTCACTGCGCTCTATTGCATGCAACTCTCGATTTCTGACACGGAGTTCAGCCCATCATTTTTAGCCTTTCGTAATAATGTTCTTCTCGATGTTTCCATTGGACGACCTCTTTTTTCTCTCTCAGCCCGATTGTTTCCCATTTCAGTGCCTGTTTTATAATTCTTTGCTTATTTCGTCTCAGAGTTTGCACGATACATCTCCACCTTGCGTCAGTATCTCAGGACCTTTCCATGGCATAAAGCCTGGGCAGTATTGTAGACACCAAACGTTTCTCATGCATCATAATTCCCCACTCGACCTGCCTTGTTTACTCCAAAGAAAAGGTAACAGCAAGGATCGGTCCGTCCACGCACAGAGCTTCCTCCTAGACCAGCTGCCACGTCAAGGCTAGGTATCTAGCCTGCCATGCCAAAACATGACATTTTCATGTTGCATTTCCTCTTCCTAGGAAAGATAATAGGCTAGTATCCTTACCAATGCACTCCTCCGCCTGAAACCGTCGGATAATCTGGAATGTCAGGTTTGGTATAGACAACCAAACATTCGGCGTTAACAGAAAACAGGTAGTACCCACTACTGTTATAAGGTGGCTCAGCCATTTATGACCAAGACCTGACATCGTCTTCTAACAACTGTAAATTCTGTTCACTGCCTCGAACGAATATAGCAAATTGGAGAAATTTAACATTTCTGATGATTTTGTCTTCCCAGAGCTACTCCTCTCACGTCTTTAAATATCTTATACCTTAATTATGCTGAACCAAATGAGCACACATGCTAAAATCAAAATCTAGTAAGTTATCTTGAACCAAACGGGTTGACATATTTTAAAGCCTCTCACCTATTAGATTATCTTGAACCCAACGGGTTGATGCATGCTAAATCCCCCACCCAGTAAATTATACAGAACCAAACGGTTTGACATTTGCCAAGGCCTCATTTAATAAGTTATCTTGAACCAAACAGACTGGCATGTGCTAATCCTTATCCTTCCTAGTAAATTATCTTGAACCAAACGGTTTGACATATGCTAAACCCCCCCCCCCCCCCCCCCCCTCTTAAGCTATATTGAACCAAACAGGCTGACATGTGCTAAATCACCATACTTATTCAGCTAGCTACATTGAACTAAGCGGGTTGGTATATGCTAAAGCCTCGTAAATGAAGTCGGTTACGTTTATTTCAGCGGCTTGCAAAAGGCTCAAGTCCCATACGTATTAGACTACTAGGAATTAATTAGCTCCGGCAGGCGGATAATTGTTGTTATCGATCCACTGGCAACCCGGTGTGCGTAAACTGTTTGAACTAATCGCGTCAATTATGTCAACACAAGTGACGACGGGATTACCACAGGGACAGGGCTAATGTAAATAAAAGAGGGATTCTTTTTCGTGCCAACATCGGGTATATAGTAGTAGACCTATCAGTAGTATCGACACTCGATGGGTGATGTGGTCATCATCATGTCAGCAGCAGTAGTAGTAGTAGTAGAGTTTTACACCACCAGCGATAAACACCCGATGACACAAAGTGTACCATGTGGATGAGGATCACCGCGTTCAGTCATTAGACCATATTAATGGCCGAGAAATATTGCTGCCCCTGGCAAGAGCCAGAGTAGGGC